TAGTTCAAAGAGAAACACGAGGGAGTGGAAAGTGTTGGACAATTCTTATTATATACATGTATTTTATAAGTACCTTATACATGTATTTATGTCAATTCAAGATAGAAATACACAAGATTTATATGATTATAACTATTTAGTTAAAAACGTCACATTCCATTGTAAATAGCCCGCGTCATAATTTGGAACATTCAAACAGTTTGAATATCTTTCTTATACATTACACCCCATATAATTTTTAAAGGCACACCGATCAATAGACGCAATGGTCTTTGATGCGTGAACATTCTTTTCGAAATATTTCTGTTTAAAAGTGCTCTTTCATATAACACTACATTTGTATATACAGACCTATTAATATTATCGTATTTTTCAAATCAGCAGAGACGCGTTATGTATGTTTTATTATACAATTATTGACTAGTGTGCCATTGAATATGATGTGATATTCACCGACAGATGACATATTGACCGATGCGATAGACTTTCTGTGAATATCACATCATATTCAAATTCAAAGGCTCAGTAGTCAGTGATTGTTTTATTATATGAATATGCTATAAGAACTATATCGCAGAAAGTACAACCTTATGCATGTATATATTCTGCCTGTTTCGTTGAAGCGCACGTGTTAGGTGTGCAACGACTACGCGAACTCTGCGCATACAAAAGTAATTCAAGTTTATACTCATCATTGCGGTTTAGCCTTTAACTATAATAGTAAAGTAATGACATTTTAATCCAGAAATATGCCATAAAGAACAAAAGCCGAAAATGACACTGCACCCAGTGAATATGATTATAGACTACTGTTTGAACCAATGAGATTGCAGCTACATGTATATTACGATCATATAATAATTGAGATCGTTAAATGTTTATGCTTTCAGCAAGCTTCATCCGTCTTGTCTGCAGATGATCTCCATTTCTATTAGACGTGAACACGGACCGTCAACCTCTATGAAAAAAACACATAAAAACAACTCGTATAACTGTATGTATCCAGGACAATGTGCTACTACCGTTTTGCCATAAAAAACATGTAACTGATAATATGATAAAGAAGATATAAAATAAAATATATTTTATCCTCTAGTTTTTCTACAGCAAAAAAGGCAACGTCCTACAGAATATCACGAGTTTTGTTTTTTCATATTTTTTCATTCTTAAACAAAGTCACAAAATATAAAAGTAAAAGACTTATATTTGAATGTCTGCAGTAAAACGCCATATTTGCTCGGCTGTATGTTTAAAGGTCCTATGCCGATGTGCCTTTTTATGTGGTCATAAAGACCTGTCCTTGAACAAAATGTTTTCCCACATTTTTCGCAAAAATATCCGAGCTGGAACATCTTATATCTGCAAAACATATATATAATATGACTACTGAAAATTATGCTTGAACAGAAATGCAAGACCTCCTATTAATATTATTTTTTTATTCCAGCGATTTATTCATCTCTATATATCGATATTTATCTTAGTATATTCGGCCGCATATAGAGGCTATATTCTATCAAAGAGCCATTGGTGGTATTTATAATATTACTCATTATCTATGAAAGTTTAAGACTAAACATTAAATCATGATCTCGATTTGTTTCAATTAATATTTAGGCTACAACTTGCAAAGTTATTGCTTGAACATAATACATTGCGTGTTAGCTATCTACAAACATGAACCCGTATCTGTTACCCAAATCATATTTCTCTTTTTCTAGAAAGAAAATGACATGCCAAAATTCGACATACCTAATATTCACATTTCAAATAAAGAAGAAGAAATTCTATGACCCTTTTTCTTTGCTATCTCGAGATAGTTTTATTAATTTCTCAAATACAAATTTTGCATGAATGTTACCCGCAAAATAAGTCTGCAAACTGAAAATGCCGGTTGAATTTTTAAGTATCTGTGAATGGAAAATAAGATATAGCTTGGCGACAACAATTCTCCGCATGTAAGTATAAGGGATATAATATAGAAATACCTGACCAATGAATTTATGCCTCCATATTGTCAGTGACCATAAACCATAAGTCACGTGAGTCCTTACCGTGATTGAAGATTTGACGGAAAACATTTTCAAGATTTTATTCTACATGTATTTGAATTAAGTCTATAGCAATAAGGTGCGATCATTTGCTTATTTAATTGCTTTAAACATATCTTATTCAAGCTTTATCTTACGAGTCATATTAATCACTTTCGAGTCCGCTTATTGGAACCAACCAGTAATGGCATCATATGATTAGGGCTCGAACCCATGATCCCTGGGTTGAGAGACAGACACCTTAGCCACTAGGTCACCGATCCAAGAAAAAAAAGAGAGAAAAGGAAGAGAAAAAAGAAAGATCTTTCGCTTACACGGCTATCCAGAATACACATACTCATTTTTAATGTGCAAAATGGCCTAAAAACGCTTTTAACTGAAATCGGGTATCTAATTCTGTGTATATTTTTCATTACCTTTTCCATAGAATAAGTGCCACATTTGATCTATGTAATATCTTCAATTATGTGTTTAGGCTTTTGGACCTCAGTGGAGTTCCTGTAAGGTCAAGGTCTGCATACACCAGCACTTGTTGACAACCTCTGGTTTTATAATATGTTATTATTTTGTGATTTTTCCTCAATGTTACTTTTAAAACCTTGTTAATTATGTAGATTTCTGCATTTTGTGTACATGTATATTCAAATATGACAGTCAAAAAGACAGCTGCAACCGCCGCCACGTCACATTCGGACTCTTAAGGTATCTAACTTTCATATAAGTTATTCATGAAAACTTAATCATCTTCACACATAGAGTTCAAGCAATAATGCAACTGTACATATAAAAATATTTTAGTTTCAACTTTATTTACATTAATTAAATACATTTTTTGAACTTATAAAATATGAACTATTAAAGTAATTCAATTAAAAATCATAAATACATTATATGATAGGAAATTTACACGATAATATATCACAAAAGTTAATTGTGTTTACACCACATTACACCTGACATAATAACTCATTAATCATCATAATGAAGGAGTTTAAAACACCGGAATAAGGTTACCCATATATAGATAGACATCTTTACATAAGCAAAAAGGCCTACCTAAATTTCTTAATCTAAATACACAGATCTACATTTTAAGTATTTTATACCATTTAGAGGCGTTTTATGTAATATGTATATATAAGACAGTTAAGTAAAGCATTTTATATGAAAATGTGGTATTACAAGTAAACATTACAAGAGAACGTGAGCATGGCCGCTAGTTCTACATTGGTTCAGGTCTAAATTTGAAGATATATTAAACCTATTATAAATGTCCCTTGTTACAGTCAAGTTCATTGATTGATGGTCGTACACTCTTTGCTACCCCTACATTTCTCATGGGGATTTTCAAAGAACCATATTATTACCAAGTACCCAAGATTCTTAGGATTAAAGTAGCTCAAAAATATTTTATAATGCTTCCCTGGGCCAAATACAGAATGTATGGATAAAGGGAATCAACTCAATATAAAGAAAGTAAACATTTTTTCTGTATGATCCGAGTGATGTTTTCTCCATGTACACTTGTCTGTCATAGGTATATAGTTCAAGCACCTAGAAGCTTAAATTGATAATAACTTGTGTATGTTGACAGTGATCAGTGTTTGCCACCAGTATTGAACCATGGTAAAATGTAACAATACCAGACTCTATATTCTTCTAGCTCAACCAGACTGTAATACTTGCTTCTTATATCAAAATCCATCATATAAACAACAGAGAGTTTAAAACTAAAAGCAGACCAACTTCTCTCTAATCCTACTGATTTTGTGAATTAATGGATATGCTCTACTTTGAATTTTTAACAGTCCATTCAAAGTTAAAGTGATTTCATATATAAAACTAGAAACAATGAGTATGAGTATAGAGCCTGTACAGACTGCATGTACAACAACAACAACAACAATCACTTTTATTAGAAGCCAGGTCACAATAGTAGACACGGCTCTATACTGGTGGCAAAGAGCTGTCTGTTTCAGCAGATTAGTTACAGTTGAGGGTTCATATAAAAAGCCAGAATAATTTACTTTTTTATGATGCTGATTATATTTCAACAACTTTGTATGTAATGACACCATGAGTAGCATAAGATAATAAATCATAAACTATCATGAAATAGTTTAGTTCAAACAATCATGATAAGTTGTCATGTGACTATTTATTTTTCTTCTTTACTATTCATTATTTAGTGAAAATCTGATCAAGTAATAGCTTGATATAGAAGGTTAATGATTTATGTAGCAAGTCCTCATATTTTAAAGGTTATAAAGCTATATCCAATGAAATAGTTTTATAAAATTGTAAAATTACATTTTTTCCATAATCTTATGATCATTTCTCAAAAAGACTTATAACATAAAACCTCCATTTTATTTAATAGACATGAATATAAACACAATAAAATGTTCCCAAACAAAATATTATGCTGCTATACCCTGTAACAAATGACTTTGTGCATGCATCATTTGCTTTTAAGGAAATATACTAACTGTTGAGTAACATATTTCTTTCATACAGGCATTTTAGAAGTATTCTTTTTAAAATTACAAACAATAACATTTGCAGCAAATATACAGTTCTATATACCTAGGTATACTTGTGTTATAACTGAATGTTATACTTAACTAGAAGGGTTTTTGTCACAAAAACATATGTATCCCAAAACTATGTATGGTCACTCATGCGAAGATTCATTGAAATCTCACCAGTAAATTGACCTGTGAAGGCCAGACAAGATTTTCCTATTTTCAGCTCTGGCAGCCATTTTGTGCAGCGAGGTGATGTGCACAACTAGGGATGGTACTGATCACTCTTGTAAAGTTTGGTTGAAATCCAACAAGTAGTTTGACCTGTGAAGGCCGGAAAAGCTTAATGCAGACGCACAACCAGATGGACGAACAGACAGCGAAGGCAAAAACAATAAGTCTCCCAAAAATTTTGGGAGACATAATTAACATCATGCAATAAGGCAGCAATTTCATGATGGAAGTCACCTGTACATAAATTATTGCAGACCAGTAGAACAAATGATCTTCCAAACTTATTTTTCATTATAAAACATTTTGTAGTTCCCAGCAAGGTTACCAGGTTTAAGACTTCAATATATCTCACATTGACTATAGGAACTCTAAATTGATCTAGATATTTTAAAGCTGCATTTCAGTTGCTTGTTAGTATTAACTTACAAAGTTGAATAATTGTGAATATCAAATACTTCTGATTATAACAAGAATTTGTAACAGAGTTAACGTCTCCCGTCTATGGGATGTTTTACATGAAGCATACAAAAGTTAAGTACAATTTCAAAAGTTTGAGACATGGATTTTGATTTTCAGTGGAAAATATGCAACAATATACATGTATATTGATTATAAAAATTACTCCCGTGTATGTTTCAACTTTGTTTACAAACATATTTGAAAATCCTTTGATAACTGGAAAATAAACTTAACACAAAGCAAACTTTATATCAGACCATGTTATTTAAGCTTTATCCTCAAAGAGAGACCTTGCAGGTAAGGGTATGAGTTTTGGCATGACACATTGTCTTATTCAAGTGAATATTTGCACAAAGCTATTTCAAAATCCCTTGATGGATGAAAGAGGTTATGGAACATACACAAAATATACACACACATGGTTAATCTTTGATCTTCAAGTAAAATCCTGACCTAGTAGGTAGGTGTCTGTGTATTGCACATGACACATCACTGTATTATGGTAAACACATATTTCAAAATCCATTGATAAAAATAGAGGTCTAGGTGTCATTCATGTTGCCTTATTATGGTAAGTTATTTCAAATCTCTTGATGAATAGCTGAGTTATGGACTGGGAAATGATATGAGGGGTTATTTCTTTTGTTATTTTTATTTGTTTCATAAAGGGTCTTTAACCCCTAAGGCCTTATTCTATTATAACAGAATTAATTTTTTTGTTTCTTATTTGTTCTGTTTACAGTTAGATGGCCACCTATTTATTTTTGGAAGTGCAGACAGACAGACAAATCCCATTTCTTTACTCCTCTTTTTTCTTCAAAAGGCAGGGTACAATATTATAATGTAAAAGTGCAAGTTTCCTCATTCTGTAGATAAAATATCAGACGGAATCTATCAAAAATTGATGTATCTTCAACCAAGAAATGCAAGTTACATCCTTCAACCTGTGTCTGTGAATATATTTATTGCTTATCAAAAACATTACTGTTACATTGTTCCCTTTTTATTCAGTTCTGATTTTCAATATAGTTTCCTCAACAGCTTGCACAAATAACACAGAAAACAATTCATCATCTTTTCTCTATTTGTCTCAGCTGTTTCTTTTTCATCCTCTTTATTTTGGCAGTATTCTTTATCTGCAAATGTTAAAATATGGCCTTAATTTAAGCAATGCACAATTTAGCATATACCAATATACATGTATAAATAAATAATAAAACAATACTATTAAAAGTCCATTATTTTACTTTATAATATGTCAGTCAATTGATATGACAATGACATCACATTTCAATATGTACACATCTTGCATACATTGCTAGAAATAATCTTCATTCATCAATGAAAAAGTCGGTACTTGGATCAGGTTTGACCACCAGTAACATTTTTATAAAGTTTAAAGAAGATTTTTGAAGATTTCATTTTTAAAGTCTATTTTTACACCGTAAAGATTGGTCAAAGTCCAAGAAGTTGTTGCAGAATTGTTGTCCAAAGAAATTGTGGATAACAACACACAATAGATGATTAACATCATGTTATCCTAAAAACTCACCTTACAGCTCTTTGTGCTTAGGAAAGTTTAAAATATCCATGAAGCAATATATATAATGTAATAATTAGAAAATGAATTCTCCATAAAGTAAATAAAATGCTGTTGAATCATGACAAAGATATGGACTGGACATGACCATCAATGCACTATCACTTCATGACTTTTGAGTGAAAAAATCCACATGTAAGTATGAACATGACCTTAGGGAAGCTTAACTTAGTTTTCTCCACAGTATGTCATCTTAATTAGCAGCTTATTTATATGATAGGACAGCAATGCACAAAAGAAGACAAGCAATTCATAATCATTTGACATACAATTGTGACCTTCACTTTAGGGATTTTGAACAATCATCATATCTAACACATTTATGCTATCTATCAAGGAATGAACGAATTGTTGATCAAGGTTTTTTTATGACAAATTCCTTTGGAACCAAAGTGTAACCTTGACCTTTGAGCTACAGACCTTGATCATGTGTGTGACACATCAGCTTACATTGCAGCATGCACATTCATACAAAAACATTTCAAAATCCATCCATAAATGAAAAAGTTATGGACTGGACACAAAGTAGGGATGGAAGGATGGACAGACACTGCAAAAAATACATCTTCCCATACTGAGGGGGATAAGGAATAAAAACAACTATGTTACCTTTTGCACAACTTCTGATTTCCGTTCATTTTCAAGCCTTCTCTTTTTGTTCTCCTCTTGTCTTTTGCGTTTCTCCTGAAAAAAAAATTACAACAATAATTATAATTCCGGTTCTGATTTACAAAATGTATTTTAAGGTATTTTTTCTTGCAATTTATAAATAAGAGGGTGACACTGGATCACTCACCTGAGATACATTGCTAGAAAACGTTATAGTTTTTATATATAGTCTTCAATGCTTACTTCAGTAAATAGATCACATTGGGTTTTGTCATTTTTACCCATGCTGAACAATTTTTTTAATATTAGGAGATGTTTGATATGAAATGCTACATGACAAATTTGTTCAATGCACTTTGAATTGTAACTTAACATGAAAACTTATGTAACATTCCTATGCAAAGCTATGTAAACTAAAGTTATCCTCATATTATAGAAAAAAGTTAGAGGACCACAAGGTAATGCTATATGCCAAATATCTAAGTTCTAAAAATAGCTGCTTTTAAGACATTTTAACTATATTTACTCTAAAATAAGGCAAAGTAGAGTTATTGTTTTTGCACACTGCACTTTCTACCAATAATCTAAGTCTGTGTACAAGTATTAGCATTTTTAAAACAGCTAGGAATAACAGTTTAGCCGGGTATTTAAAACATTTTTCTTGTTTGAAATAAGACTCCTTCCTGAACTATTAATAGATCTATATTCCATACATTGTTTACCCCATATGAGCCTCAACACCAGATAGTATTTCAATTCTGTTAATAGGTTACCCAACAAAAACATGGCAAATGACATAGGCACCCCTTTTTGAGGTATTTTGTTGTCCATTTATTATCATGTCGTATTAAATTCTCTGTTTTAAATGGCTTATGGCAGGGGTTGTACAGGTACAAAAGGTCATATCTTGTTGTACAATGTATATGTTGCCGTTACTGGAATGATGACAATTAAGTATGAAATAAATCCCTCCAGTTCTTAAGGAGTTATGTTTCGAACAGTTTTTTAAATAAAACTGATAAAGGGGAATAGTAGGCACAGTAAAGTTATTGTACTTACACATTGCACTTCCTAAAGTGCTCTGTCAGTGTATGAAGTTTGAATAAAATAAATCAAGTACTTTTGGAGTTATGTTCTGGACAAACCTTTTTCAAGTAAATCTGATGAAAGGGAACAACTCTAAAAGTAGGCAAGATAAAGTTGTTGTTCTTGCAAACTGCACTTCCTACCAACGTGCTTTATCAGTGTATTTAGTTTGAAGAAATTCCCCTTAACTATAAAAGAAGGCAAGGTAGAGTTATTGTTCTTGCACACTGCACTTCCTCCCTCTGTAAGTTATTTGAGGTCTGAATAAAATAGCTCAAGTACTTTTGGATTTTTTGCTCCAGACAAAAATTGGACACACGGAGACCATTTCTTATATCTTCTTGGAGTCTTTTGCCTTTGGCAAGAATTTAATTCAAAGACTTTAACGTAGGATAAAATTATTAGCTTTATGTTCAATATACTTAATTAAATCTTCAAACCTCTAATTGGTTATTTCTTTCTTCTTTAAGCTGCCTTTCAAACGACTGAACTGACTTTTTCTGTGCCTTTATTTGCATTTTTTTGGCCCAACTAGTTTTCAGAGTCTTGTCTAACCTTTTATCTGAAAATCTACATATAAAAACAAGATGATTATAACATTTATGTTAACAACTCAACATACAAATAACATAATTACTTTCAAATTGGACTACTCTCAATAAAAGGCTTTGTAATATCAGCCTAATATGATTCTGTGCTTTTTTTTGTAAAACTAAAAACAAACAGTTCATTTAGGCCCCCAGAGGGAGGGAACATAATAATACACAATGTAGTTGGATTCCATGAAGGTAGCATTATGATTTTTTGTGATTTTTAGAACTTGACACTTGGAGGGGTTAAATTCAATATACCACTCAAACTTTCACTTTTCTAAGCGATTTAACTGACTGGTTTGCAGATGTCAGAGCAGTATTGTCTGCAAAAAGGTTAACCTTGGAATTGGTGTAACTTAATGTGTTAGAGGTCATTAATATAAGCAAGAAATGAGGGACATAAGACTAAGCCTGAGGATACTGAGATGGGGTCGAAGCTGCTGCCATCAAGTACAACTGACTGCAGTCTCTTATCTAGAAAGCTTTTGACCAACTGGAAACTATGACCTTTGTTTCTGTACAGCAGTGCTTTATCATGGCTGACCTAATCTAAAGCTCTTGTAGTATCTCTGATGAAAAGGTACTTATTTCCAATCAATTCTAACTTCACCCATTATCTTCACATTGAAGATTGAAGCTCTGGCATTTCTTTGTAATTTCTAATGGTAACTTTTGGAAAACGCCCATCCACCTGTCTTCACTTTGTGTTCTTCACAATGATGGAATATTTCCAAATCCACCACAAGCAAACATGCATTTAGCTGCTAGTCATTCATTAAAAAGTATTCCAAGCAGGTTAAAATATTGATATCCAATTCATGCCTCAAAATTATGCAAATTCAAACTCAATTTCATCACATTCTTTTTTGTGTACCTATTGCCACCATTTGATTACATAACAAGCAATGAATTAGCCTATGAATTCTTTCCATTTCTTTTGACAGCTGAGCAGCATGGCAGACAAGTTTGAAGAAAAAAATGTGTACTGAAATTTAATTAAAATGCACGTACAAGTGACATTTAATATGTGACAATCATTTTATGAATGGCAAGTCAACATGTCAACCTTGCAATTTTAAAGTTATTTTTCAAGTTTGATATTACATTTTTTTGTAAAATGAAGATAGATGGCTCAATATTTAAAAGGCTACTGAAGAATTTTTAGATATATCAATTGTGCTATGTTTGCAGGTATAATCAAAGGGCTGCAAGCTCCATGGTATTTTCTGAACTTTGCAATCTATATCATACTGTATATCATTCTGTATGTATTTTCCTGTATAAGTTTATTTTTATATACTATAATTCATCTTACAGGGCACCGAGATGCAGCGACTGCGTTTAGATTTTTTACTATAACAGTTTGAGTTTGATACATATGGAATTTTGCATGACTAGAGTTCAAAAAAACCCATATATGTTCATTATTTTATGACAGCCACACTTTATCCTTGCATATCTTGGCTACTTCCTTAAAAAAGACACTTAAGAAAAAGTTGTAGCCTCGACTGGGATTTGAACCTCAGACCTCTCACACCCTAAACGAGCACGTTACCCTGCACCATGGGGAAGTTATACGAAGAAAGCCTGAATATAATTGAATAATTCTGAATTTGGTATTTCCATTTCGTGTTTGTAATCCTTATTAATTTTGAGGTATTTTGTTCATGATAAACCTGTTGTTTATCACTGATGTAAATAATTTAGCGAAAATCTTCTAGCCAAAACAGTAATTTTTGTTCTTGATGATCAAGGGGAGATTATCAGATTTTTTATGATGATTTGATCTATTGATCATTATTGGCAAGACAAATGTGAGAAAAATAACCTCCATAGCACGAAAACTCAATTTTAAGATTGATTTAGTTACCATTTCTCATAATGTAAGCTGGTAAGTATAAGGGAAATCGATACGTTAATAGTCCGACCAGTTTAGGCATCGCGAAAACACATTACAACTGTAGACTCACCTAGTTTTCTGAGACTTCCATACTCGACCAGACTTTGGTTTTCCTTTAGGTATATTTCTTAATTGTTCCATTTTCTACGTTATGTTTAAACACGATTTATATATGCGTAATATATCTTTTTTAAAATGTAAACATGTGTGTTTTCTATTTCACCGGAACTTGACTGGTCTAACAGCCGTATTAGAAGCCGTTCCTTAAATGTTTGTTAAAATCAAATTTAGGTAAATATTCTTAATTTACGTCAAATTTGAGTTTATCCACAGTTAAAGGAAGAATGCTTTAAACAAATATTCGATTGCTCAAATTAAGTTATGTACACGTAGTATTTTTTGTAAATGTTTAACTTTTGGAATTTAAATGTTATGTACTGACAATGTTTTCGGATAATAATCCATTCGGATACATTACTGCATACATTAATCAAAAGAAGTAAATGAGCAAATAAGGAGAATGGTGAATTAAAATACAAAATAGTAATAAAACATGAATTACAAAAAAAATTTCTTATCGGGACGGGGTACCATAAATGGAATAAAACATTTGATCAACAATTGAAATAAGACAAGTGTAAAAAAAGATCTGCTTTTATACTGTCAAATAAATTGTAGTTATTCTATGTGCTGTATTTTTCAGTAAGAATATTATACTATAGCAAGCTGTACTTCTCACCCTGGCATCAGCATCTGTGTCCAGATTCAGATTAATGTTTTTATGTTTACTTTAATTAACTTAAACTTTATTTCTACATGGATTTAATTCAGACTTCAAAAATATGTTTGTTATCAACACCTACATCATATGCAATTAGAATTTTATGTCTAGTTTCTGTATTTCCAGAATTATCTCTATTTTGAACCTGAAATTTATTTGAAAATTGTTATATAATTTTTATAAATATTATCTTTGTTATTGTGAAATTTAAAATGGTATCTACTTTAGACTTAATACATAATTGTTCTTTGTCATTTCTCACATCATGTATGGCAATACAATTCATAGCTCTTGCATCTTTATTGCTAGAGTTTTCGCCTCTGAGCTTATAATAATTTTACTTTAAAAATGTAATATATGTTATATACTTTGTGCTTGTATCATTCTTGTTACTTTGACTTCAAATTTCAAATTGTTGTCTTTTCCATTAGAACATAGAAATGTTTTTGTTTTTTTAACTTTTATTAACATGATCACATGCATTTTTTGTGGTGCAAAAATGTTTGACGTTTGAATGCTTTATTGATACTGATACAGAAATACAAAATGTATGTTTGTATCATAATTTATTTTTATGCCACCGCAGCATCTGCGATGCGGTGGCATATAGCGATTCACCTGTGTGTGTGTTTGTTTGTGTGTGTGTGTGTTATATAGATTATATAGTGAACTTAAAAAATCTTCTTGTGAAAAACCAGTAGTCCAATTTCAACCAAACTTGGCAGGATTGATCCTTGGGTGAAGGGCTTCCAAAGTTGTTCAAAGAATTTAATTCCATGCAGAAATCTGGTTGCCATGGCAACCAAAAGGAATTATAAGAATAAATTTAAAAAATCTTCTTGTAAAGACCCAAAAGGCCTAGAGCTTAGATATTTTGCATAAGGCATTGTCTGGTAGACCTCTACCAAGATTGTTCAAATTATAGCCCTGGGGTCAAAATCGGCCCTGCCCCGGGGTCATTGATTTTCACTATATGTACATATAGTAAAAACTTAAAATACCTTATTGTAAAGACCCAAATAGCCTAGAGCTTAGATATTTTGCATAAGGCATTGCCTGGTAGACCTCTACCAAGATTGTTCAAATTATAGCCCTAGGGTCAAAATCGGCCCCGCCCCGGGGGTCATTGATTTTCACTATATGTACATATAGTAAAAACTTTAAATACCTACTTGTAAAGACCCAAAAGGCCTAGAGCATAAGGCATTGTGTTGTAGACCTCTACCCAGATTGTTCAAATTATAGCCCTGGGGTCAAAATCGGCCCTGCCCCGGGGGTCATTGGTTTTCGTTATATGTATATAGTAAAAACTTTAAAAAAATTTCTTCTAGCAATTGACAAATGCTAGAGGTTAGATATTTTGCATGAAACATTGTGTAGTGAACCTCTAGCAAGATTGTTCAAATTATAGCCCTGGGGTCAAAATTGCCCCCGCCCCGGGGGTCATTGATTTTCAATATATACATATAGTAAAAAATAAAAAAATCTTATTGTCTGTAGGTACAAGGTACAAGGCTTCAAAAACTTAAAATACCTTCTTGTAAATGCCCAAAAGGCCTAGAGCTTAGGTATTAATGCGGTGGCATAGCATTTTTAGCTCGACTATTCGCAGAATAATCGAGCTAATGCAGTCACCCATTTGTCGGCGTCGGCGTCGGCGTCGGCGTCCCTGTGGTTAAGTTTTTGTATGTAAGCTGGTATCTCCATAACTACTGAAGGGAATGGATTGAAACTTCACACACTTGTTCTCTGTGATTATCTAAGATGATTGGCACAAGTCCCATAACTCTGATTTGCTTTTTTACATAATTATGCCCCTTTTTCGACTTAGAAATTCTTGGTTAAGTTTTTGTATGTAAGCTGGTATCTCCATAACTACTGAAGGGAATGGATTGAAACTTCACACACTTGTTCTCTGTGATTATCTAAGATGATTGGCACAAGTCCCATAACTCTGATTTGCTTTTTTACATAATTATGCCCCTTTTTCGACTTAGAAATTCTTGGTTAAGTTTTTGTATGTAAGCTGGTATCTCCATAACTACTGAAGGGAATGGATTGAAACTTCACACACTTGTTCTCTGTGATTATCTAAGATGATTGGCACAAGTCCCATAACTCTGATTTACTTTTTTACATAATTATGCCCCTTTTTCGACTTAGAAATTCTTGGTTAAGTTTTTGTATGTAAGCTGGTATCTCCATAACTACTGAAGGGAATGGATTGAAACTTCACACACTTCTTCTCTGTGATTATCTAAGATGATTGACACAAGTCCCTTAACTCTGCTTTGCTTTTTTACATTATTATGCCCCTTTTTCGACTTAGAAATTCTTGGTTAAGTTTCTGGGTGTAAGCTGGTTATGATCTCCATAACTACTGAAGGGAATGGATTGAAACTTCACACACTTGTTCTCTGTGATTATCTAAAATGATTGGCACAAGTCCCATAACTCTGATTTGCTTTTTTACATAATTATGCCCTTTTTTCGACTTAGAAATTCTTGGTTAAGTTTTTGTATGTAAGCTGGTATCTCCATAAGTACTGAAGGGAATGGATTGAAACTTCACACACTTGTTCTATGTGATTATCTAAAATGATTGGCACAAGTCCCATAACTCTGGTTTGCTTTTTTACATAATTATGCCCCTTTTTCGACTTAGAAATTCTTGGTTAAGTTTTTGCGTGTAAGCTGGTATCTCCATAACTACTGAAGGGAATGTATTGAAACTGCACACACTTGTTGTTTGTGATTATCTAAGATGATTGGCACAAGTCCCATAACTCTGATTGCTTTTTTGCATAATTATGCCCCTTTTTCGACTTAGAAATTCTAGGTTAAATTTTTGCTTGTAAGCTGGTATCTCCAAAACTACTGAAGGGTTTGTACCTTTTCGGACAATTTTATGTATTCATATAGGTAAGCATTATTATACTCAATGAAACACCCTTGTGATGAATTTTCGAATAGTCGAGCGTTACTGTCCTCCGACAGTTCTTGTTCTCAAATGCAATCTTGTTTTATACATGTAGCTTTGTCTTCCTTTCCATCATCAGTATGTTGAGCTTGCTGTGTCCTCTGACAGCTCTAGTTTTAAGATATTACAATGTACAAACTTGTGGCTTTAATTTGTGGATATAATGAATTTTTTGTTCATTTTTCAAAATCCTGCTTGCGCATGGGGACAAGTTTTCAGGCATTTGCCAGAAGTTCAGGTTTTTGCCACCCAAGTATGCTCTCTTTTTCTAAATAAAAACCAATTGAAATGATAATAAATTCAAGGCTTTCATGTTTTCTGATATTTTTAACCTGCAATATACAAGAGAAGCATGGAATGATTTAAAAATAAATAGCTCAGAGATGATAATCATTAATGACCTTGTCAGGTATATTATACATGTACGTACTGAATACAAGTGCTATTATTTTTTTCAGACATCATGGAAGGACAAATAGACTACAAACAGAAATATAAAGTTTTGAAAAAGAAACTGAAGTTTCTTGTTTATGTAAGTTAATCTTTTAACAATTTTCAATCATTTTAATTAAAAAAAAGTTTTTGTTTTATTTTGACTCAGATATCAAATAAAGTGAAAATTCTTGTTATATTTATACATGTTAATTTTATGTATGTAGCTTTATAAATGTTAACAGATTATTGTTTACTCATAACTATTCATAATTCCTTACATAAAATTTGATGTACTTATACCAATCTGAAGTTTGTTTGTGGTGGCCAATATATAGAAGATATTGAATGAGTGTAGTTTAATACTAAATTTATTGAACGAATTGAATAAAATCATATTATGCGAGCCTCTGGTGAACATAATATTGTTTTATTCAACGAGTTCTATAAATTGAGTATTGAATCTACAGGAATATAATATTCTATTTATCACATATATAAAATAAGAACAGCAAAGTGTTAAAATGAGTAATTTTTCAATGACGCGCCCATAGTGTAACGCTAACATTAGCGCGCTTTAACGCTATGTTTCTATAAGCGCAAATGACGTCATGTCAAAGTGTTATTACACTAGTGTAATATCGTTTTTATTAACTGGCTTTATTACACTCCTGCGCCGCGGTTTATGTGATAAAAGTTCATATGTAATATGTTAGAAAACATATAATATGAATACAAATATTACACAATTGTTCATTTCCATATCAATACATGTATTTATGGACTTTTACTATTTAGAGTAATTTAGTTATTTATAGTAAAACTTGGTACTTGTTTCAGGGGCATCTTAAAGTTGTACATTTGTATATGATAATGTCAGTGATTAACTTGATGGGATTTTTTGTGTGTGTCACCTGCTACAGGTTAGTGACAACATACAGGGATCAGACTCACTTCTCTGTTATTGTCTGTCTTTCCGTTTGTCCATCACAAAACTGGCTCCCCGACTACTATTCACAAACTACCAGAGCTATTTTATCCAAACTTTACAGGAATGATCAGTACCAACCCTTTTAGTGCATATTACCAGCATTTTCCAGTTTAATGATTTTTTTTTAGTGTTATGGCCCATTCATTTATTATGCCCCCATTTCGAAGAAAAGGGGGTATATTGCTTTGCACTTGTCGGTCCGTCGGTCCGTCGGTCCGTCGGTCCGTAGACCAAATGGTTTCCGAGTGATAACTAAAGAACCCTTAGGCCTAGGAACTTCAAACTTGGTATGGTGATTGGTCATGACCAGTAGATGACCCCTATTGATTTTGGGGTCAAGGGGTCAAAGGTCAAGGTCACATTGACCTTGTAAGCAAAAACGGTTTCCGATCAATAACTAAAGAACCTTAAGGCCTAGGAACTTCAAACTTGGTATGGTGATTGGTCATGACCAGTAGATGACCCCTATTGATTTTGGGGTCAAAGGGTCAAAGGTCAAGGTCACATTGACCTTGTAAGCAAAAACGGTTTCCGATCAATAACTAAAGAACCTTAAGGCCTAGGAACTTCAAACTTGGTATGGTGATTGGTCATGATCAGTAGATGATCCCTATTGATTTTGGGGTCAAGGGGTCAAAGGTCAAGGTCACATTGACCTTGTAAGCAAAAACGGTTTCCAATCAATAACTAAAGAACCTTAAGGCCTAGGAACTTCAAACTTGGTATGGTGATTGGTCATGACCAGTAGATGACCCCTATTGATTTTGGGGTCAAGGGGTCAAAGGTCAAGGTCACATTGACCTTGTAAGCAAAAACGGTTTCCAATCAATAACTAAAGAACCTTAAGGCCTAGGAACTTCAAACTTGGTATGGTGATTGGTCATGACCAGTAGATGACCCCTATTGATTTTGGGGTCAAGGGGTCAAAGGTCAAGGTCACATTGACCTTGTAAGCAAAAACGGTTTCCGATCAATAACTAAAGAACCTTAAGGCCTAGGAACTTCAAACTTGATATGGTGAATGGTCATGATCAGTAGATGATCCCTATTGATTTTGGGGTCAAGGGGTCAAAGGTCAAGGTCACATTGACCTTGTAAGCAAAAACGGTTTCCAATCAATAACTAAAGAACTTTAAGGCCTAGGAACTTCAAACTTGGTATGGTGATTGGTCATGATCAGTAGATGACCCCTATTGATTTTGGGGTCAAGGGGTCAAAGGTCACATTGACCTTGTAAGCAATAACGGTTTCTGATCAATAACTAAAGAACTTTAAGGCCTAGGAACTTCAAACTTGGTATTGTGATTGGTCATGATGAGTAGATGACCCCTATTGATTTTGGGGTCAAGGGGTCAAAGGTCAAGGTCACATTGACCTTGTAAGCAATAACGGTTTCTGATCAATAACTAAAGAACTTTAAGGCCTAGGAACTTCAAACTTGGTATTGTGATTGGTCATGATGAGTAGATGACCCCTATTGATTTTGGGGTCAAGGGGTCAAAGGTCAAGGTCACATTGACCTCTTGGGTAAAAACGGTTTCTGATCAATAACAAAAGAACCCTTAGGCCTAGGAACTTCAAACTTGGTATGGTGATTGGTCATGACCAGCAAATGACCCCTATTGATTTTGGGGTTAAGGGGTCAAAGGTCAAGGTCACATTGACCTTATAGGTAAAAACGATTTCCGATCAATAACGAAAGAACCCTTAGGCCTAGGAACTTCAAACTTGGTATGGTGATTGGTCATGACCAGCAGATGACCCCTATTGAGTTTTGGGTCAAGGGGTCAAAGGTCAAGGTCATGACCAGTAGATACTTGATAACCCTTATTAATTGTTTGATCACTGGGCCAGAAGTCATGCATAATAACCTTATCACATGACTAATTGGCTGCTGATAGGGGGCATACATGTTTTACAAACATATCTTGTTTTTTAAAGTTTGTTCAGACATAACATTTTTGTATCCGATACTGGCATTTTGTTCACTAAATTGCCTTGTTTTGCCAAAGTCTTATTTTCCACAAAATCTTGATATTATTGAATTTGATTTCAACTGGAGTAGCATTTTATTGACCTTAATACATGCAGTTTATTTGATTGTTCATAAGTACATGTACATATGGATCTTGCTTATAATGTTAGGATTACATGGCAACTGGCAAGATCTGAAATAATTTATGTTGTTATTTTTTTTATATAAAATTGTTCATTTTACAGGAGCAGGAATGTTTTCTTGAGGAGTTAAGAAAAGCTCAGAGAAGATTGTTAAAAGTTTCACGAGATAGAAGGTATTTAATTTAAACGATATTTATTTCTAAAATTTTCAAACATAGATATACATTACAACCAGAAAACTTTGTTTAACAATAATCATGTATGACTGGAGATATTAATATAGAGGTAATCAATGCTAATGACTTTATAACTTAATTGAATCGGAAGACTCACGTAAATTCATTTCATCAGTGAGTTGGAAAAGATGGTGGCTGACTCATCAAAATAACGTGTAATGTTTGAAGATATGAATTTACAATAAAAGTGATAAAAGAGTTCCAGTCCCAGTTCCAGTATGGAACTAAGTTATGTGTTACTGATAAGACAGTAACATGGGCAAGCATTATGATGTGTTAACTTCACCATATACCGTGTACTGTATATTATTTGGGCCTCCTGAGTTTAAAATTGGTCCTGTCTCAGGGATAACATTATTTATATTTAAGTCTAATTGTGTTAAACTACAATGTCTAGAGCTTAGATATTTAGCATGTAGCATTGCCTAACTGACCTTTACAAAACTGTTATGAATCATGCTCCTGCATTCAATATTTGTCCCGCCCAGAGAAAAACATGTTTGATGCTTATTGTGTGAAACTAAAATTCCCAAAACTTAGATATTTGGCATGTAACATCACTTTGTGACCACAACATAACTGGTATTAATCATGCTCCCTGGGTCATTATTAGAGCAGTAAGAGCACCCAGGGAGTCACTTACTTGATATAATAAAGTTTTTTAACTTCAATGCCTAGAGTTTAAATATTTGTCATGTAGCATTGACTTGCTGACCTCTACATCATTGATATAAATCATGCCCCTGGGGTCAATATTTGCCCAATTCTGGAGGTCCCTTGTTTTATATAGACTTATATAGGAAAACTTATTGACCTCTTTTTATGAGAAACTACAGAGCTTTGATATTTGGCATGTAGTATTTCCTCCACAAAACTGATATTAATTTTTAATCATGCCCCTTGGGTCAATATTTGGCCCACTACAGGGGTCACTTAATTTATATAGAGTTGTAGTAAAAATACATTTAAGTCTGATTGTATTAAACTACAATGCACAGATATTAGATTTTTGGCACATAGCATAATGGACCTTTCCGGTTTTTCGTAGCGGAACATTTAGCCACACCTTTTCCATTCATTGCTAGGTCAACTGCTCACAAACAGTATCACAAACATAAGCACGTGCTCTTTTGTGCAAACCAGGTCAACCAGTGACTATGTATTATCTCAGTGTAGCGATTGGATAACAAGTAAGCCAATTTACATAAAACTGTAAACACCGGAAAGGTCCATCTTGTGAACCTCTACAAAACTGATATAAATCATGCCCCTGGGGTATATACATGTATATATAATAATATAATGATTAATATAACTTTTGTAGAAAACTACAAATAGATGCTACATGCCAAATATCTAAGCACTCGCCTTTGAAGTTTCACATAATCAGACTTAAATGTTTTCTATATAAATCAAATGACCCCAGGGCGGGCCAATATTGACCCCAAGGGCATGATATATATCAGTTTTGTAGAGGTCCACAAGATTATGCTATGTTTCTCACACTTAAACCAGGTCCCTAGGTCAAAAGTCAAGGTCACACTTAGAGGTTAGAGAAAACCACTTGTCCATAGTGAAAAGAGAGATTTTCATATTACTTCGCACAAATGTTAATAATTGTGACCAATAGTGTTATGGACAAAATTTGGGTCCCTTTCACAAAGATTAATTTACAGGTCCAAAGTCAAATAATAAAATGAAAATGTGAATATTGATCATTTAGTCATTAAGAATTTATTATATGTTATTGTAAATGTTTATTATCATGAGATATTTGTGATTGGCATGTTTTTTGACAATAGATATCTTGTTTCTATCAATATAGATTGTAATAGTCTTACATTGTACCTATGATAATTTAAAGGGATTAAGCATTTAGAAGTATTTCTCATACATATGTTCAAAACAAAAGAGTGTAAAGTTATTACTGATGCTGTTATTTATACAGTTTCCTACTGGACCGTCTGTTACAATATGAAAAACTAGAAGAATCATCTGGTGATTCAGATCTGACTGCTTCTAGTGACTCAGAGCCAGAAAGTCTTCGTCCAGAAGGTTCTACTTCTAAAAGGTATGTTTTTACATGTCATACTTGAAAGGCTTTTGATTTTTCAGTTGATATTCATTTTTATGCCTCTAGGCAGGTAGTAATTGAACATCTATACAAGATTAATAGTAACCGACAAATTGGATATATCTTAATTTCTCTTTGTAAACCAATGGTTTCATGATTTAAACATAACCGAGTCATCCATTTTTCCCACTTATTTCCCTTTTTATCACTTGGAAAATATGACGCGGTATGGTTTACCTATTTTGGCAAGTTGGATATATCTTAAATTTCTCTTAGCAACTTCATTAATTTGATATCCTCCATATTTGGTAGGTAGATACCTGTCATGATCCTCTAACTTTGGATGAGTTTTGCACCTTTGGGTACTTGTCACTGGAGAAAAAAATAGATTTACACTTTTGCCCATACAGTCTATATTTAAAAATTGATGTCTAACTTTTGTAGTTCTCTTCATTCTTAATCAATGGGATCAAGGTCAATGGTGCTAAAAATTGATTTTTACATATTTATTTATTGTCTGATATATTTCATTATTGGATGGAACGTACCTAATGGATGGTCCAGAGTTGGGAGTCACAAGTTCAAGGTCACCTGTTGGCTGTGGCTGTGCTGATAATAGATATTGACACTTTATCTTATTCAGCCTTTATTATTTTACCTGTCTTTTATATTTGGTAGGAAAATACCTTGGATGGTCCTTTTGGTTGACTGGCACCAGCTTACATGCAAAAACTAATTATAACAACAGACAGTGCTAGATTTTTAGCTCGACTATTCGAAGAATTTGAGAGCTATTGTAGTCGCCCCGGCGTCGGCGTCGGCGTCAGCGTCCGCTTCCGCGTCTGCGTTGGTTAAAGTTTTTTGTAAATTCAAATATCTCAATTATTGCTTGAGATATTCAATTGAAACTTACAATACTTATTTATAGTAACAATGTACATCAGATTGACAAGTTGGATAACTCTACCTACAATATTGACAAAATTATGCCCCTTTTTAACTTAGAAATTTTGGTTAAAGTTTTTTGTAAAGTCAAATATCTCAATTATTGCTTGAGATATTCAATTGAAACTTGCAATACTTATTTATAGTAACAATGTTCATCAGATTGACAAGTTGGATAACTCTGCCTACAATATTGACAGAATTATGCCCCTTTTTAACTTAGAAATTTTGGTTAAAGTTTTTTGTAAATTCAAATATCTCAATTATTGCTTGAGATATTCAATTGAAACTTGCAATACTTATTTATAGTAACAATGTACATCAGATTGACAAGTTGGATAACTCTACCTACAATATTTTCAGAATTATGCCCCTTTTTAACTTAGAAATTTTGGTTTATGTTTTTTGTAAATTCAAATATCTCAATTATTGCTTGAGATATTCAATTGAAACTTGCAATACTTATTTATAGTAACAATTTTCATCAGATTGACAAGTTGGATAACTCTGCCTACAATATTGACAGAATTATGCCCCTTTTTAACTTAGAAATTTTGGTTAATGTTTTTTGTAAAGTCAAATATCTCAATTATTGCTTGAGATATTCAATTGAAACTTGCAATACTTATTTATATTAACAATGTACATCAGATTGACAAGTTGGATAACTCTACCTACAATATTGATAGAATTATGCCCCTTTTTAACTTTAGAAGTTTTGGTTAAAGTTTTTTGTAAAGTCAAATATCTCAATTATTGCTTGAGATTTTCAATTTAACCTTACAATACTTATTTATAGTAACAATGTATATCAGTTTGCAAAATCGCATAACTCTGCCTGAAATTTTATGCACTTCTTTGAGAGCATAATAGGACTCTGACCAAAGACCTTTAGCCGTAACATGGATTTAAAGAAAAATTTGGCCATTTTGTTAATTTAGAAAATGTTACATTATCAAGGCTCTTTTAATATCAAACACTTAGAATAGTCGAGCATGCTGTCCTACCGACAGCTCTTGTTTTTTGTTGCAGTTTAGTTTCTCCAAAAATGTTTCTGTATTTTACTCTACTATACTCAATGTTTTATTTACAGAAAGAGGGGGGCTCTACCTGCAGGGTTTGATCCTTCAGCAGTACTTGGTGGTATGGGATTCACAGCAATATCACAGGTAATAAAGTTCATACTTTGTAATATTCTTTAAGTCATTCATTTACAATATATCATATAGTATGAAAACTAAACAAACAACATAACTGGGAAAATAAGATTTGCATAAGGAATAAGAAGGATCAATAAGAGGAGGTTCACTATATCATTCTACAAGTTAAGACTGTATGAAAGGCAAGTTAACATAGTAACACATATTATATTGATAAATTTTACATGACTTCATTTATTTTGACTGTCACTCAATCAGGTGAACATAAAAGTTTCAACCTCTCTTCATGTTGGACTACTAACTGCTGCTAAGTTTTTCATACTGTATATATATGTATAATGTATAATCTTATACATAAAAACATTATACATAAAAACAGTATGTTTATGATCATACAGAAATGAGAGCCATGCATTATGATGATGATCTGATTATTAACTAAACCCTATTCCTGCAGAATTTGTGTAATGGACTTGCCCATCTTTGAATCTAGAATAGTTTATTTGAAGTTTAAGGGATTACATAAATTAAGCTACCTACAGTATAAAGTCTGATCAGACTGCATAATGTTGCTTGTTGGACAGGCTCTATGTTGGTGTCATAGGTTAATAACTTGCAGTTCCGCACCAGCATCTTCAGATTCTTTCATCTTAGACAGCTGTTCAACTTCCTTATAGAAACTTGGTGGTTCTACTCAAATTCCCACTCATGCCTGAAATAATAAACAAAGGAGCATCTGAGGTCTTCTTCTACCAGATAAGCTGCCATATGATCTATCATGTGTTGGTGCGACATAAAATTCAACCAAAAACAAACAAAACTTTCAGTTCCACCAGTTAAAGTTAATAGAAATTTATGTTAACAGTGACATCCCCACTCTGATTTATATATAATCTGCAAATCTTGCAAAACCATCTGACCGATAGAATATTAGAAAATGTTCTTATACTGTAAAGGAAGTGCATACTCAGTACATTATTACATCTTGAGTTTGGACCATTCGTCACATTTTAATTTTTGATGATAGTAAATATCACCCACTATTGTTGCTGACATTGTAAACTTTTATGTGAGAACTTTCTGGAAGCTGCCTAGCTATTAAAAAGAAAATTTCATCTGTGGTTCTAATTAGGTGTATGAAGTAATACAAAGAGGGACTCTGGATGTCAGTGAGCACCAGTAAAGCTAGAAAGCTGTGATATGATCTTTTTAGTGTTCATGTTAACTTACTTGAATTAAAAAAAAAGAAAACATTCCATTCACTGGGCATTTGCAATAGACTAGAAAATAAATAGTTAATCCTATCATGCTGTCAAGCTGTTATCTGACACTGATTATCATACATGTATATATGTGTATGTTACATTAATATGGTAAACTTAATATGAATTATGATGGGTATTAGGAATTACATGTAAATGTTTTGTCCCTGATTAATTCATTTTACACCACAACATTTCTGGACCATTCTGTTTAAAAGTAGTGTGTTAATTTTTATTATATATATTTAAGTTAATACTTTGATTAATCTATTCATATTTGCTTGTTTTACTAGGGTCCACCTAAGAAAAAGGCAAAAACAAATGTAAAAAAGAAAACAGGTTTGTATGACAATATTATTTGTAATTTGTTGTATATTTCTGACCTTTGGAATTATTAATGTCAGTACATGTATATTACTGTGCTGAAAATTGAAAACTGCTTATGCTAGTGCTAGTGGTATAAGAGTGGTTGCACCATATATTATCCAGGTGTGGTAACATTACAGTGCTAGCTGAGGGGGCTGACATATGGGTAGGAGATTGTGACAAAGACAAAGGAAAACAATGCGACAGGCAAAACGCATTTTTTCCAGCAAAATGTACATGTGAACAGGGTGGGTGTGGGAAGGGTGGCCCCTCCCATTGACTCAGAAGTTTTGAAATCTGAGGTTGAATATGGTGTTCTTTTCTAGACTTTCTAATGCTTTTTATGGTAGCTTTTTGGCTACCTAACAATGCTATTCTATATTGAGTTTATCATCAAATGGTATTATTATTCAATAAGAAATTTTTCCATAAATGAATCTATTTTAGATATTTAAGCGGTCATTACAATTTAAATTTAATTCAAAGCATATAAATACAACAGCCATATATAAAGATTATTTAAACCAATCATTTCATCTTACAATCATTACAATACAAATGATTTTTATTCTTAACAAACCAACAATTTGTGAAGTTAGTCAATAAGTTGCTTGAATTCTATCATGTTTACATTATAAAGATATTTTGAAAATGAAAGAACACACTTAAAGTTTTAGTAATCCAGTCAGATGGTATTGAAGGATACTTACCATTTCTTTACAGCATCAAAGAAACAGACTCCCACCAATCCAATGTCAAGGGCAGAATTAGAGCGCCATCTAGAATCAAAACAAGAAATCTTTGGAATAGAAAAGACTCCAGCTTTTCTTCCATCAGAGATATTTAGTAATGATAATTCAAATTTAGACAGGTAATTGCTTCATTATTCTATTCTTCCTGATAATGGCCTCATTCTGATTGATTAAGAAATTTGCATTTTATTAAGTACTAAAGTTATTCACTTGAAACTTTAGAAACTTGAAGTTTAGATTATTGTCAGAGAAATTTTGCTCTAACATGTTTGAATTATACCCAGTAGTATATTTACAGGTTTAATGTAATATCCACACTGTTTACTATCAAGCAATGAGAATAGCATTTGAGCAGTCTGTCTGTCTGTTTGTTTATCTGGTGGCTTTTGTTTGATTTTAAAAGTTTAGTTAGGAAAGCAAGGGACAAGTGTTTTCAACAGAAGCCCACATCCATATGTTATTCTGATATTTTAAAGCGTTACCTTTTATGTAATTTTGATATTTTTAAAGCATTATCTTTTATGTAATTCTGATATTTTTAAGTATCTTCTTTTATAGTTAAAGTAATGTCAATATTAAATATGCTCAATTCTCAACATATAACAATTATAATATCAAAACTAGCAGTGTTCAATGTTGAAAACACATCATTCTATAAATCAACCTAAAATGCATACATATATTTTTAGCCAATTATGAAATTATCACAAGTTGTTCTGCCTTTGGGAAATCTGCCTTTTATGTTTTAGTTGTTTTGTGTTTGTATAAATAGCATGCCTGTATAAAACTATTTGTATCTATTGTTTAACATTACAGTGATGCTATGATGGACATTAAAGATGAGGATGATGATGATTTAATCATAGATGCACCACAATGATAGACTGTACCACATTATAGACTGTACTAAAGTGTTGAAGTTTTGACTGTACTAAAGTGTTGTAGACTGTGCCACACAGTGCTGGAAAAATAAGATTGAAATGGCATACATGGCAATTTAATGTGGCACAAGCCAGTTCAAAGAGTGTTAGATTGTTCTAGTTTAAACATCTGATGAAAGAGTTCAAGCAAGTTAATGCCAGGAAAGGGAGATGAATCCTTCATGCAGCTTTTAATTGTATATAAATGTACATGTGGTTATATTTCTCTGCTAAATGCAGTTTCAGAAAATTTTGTTTTAATTTTGAAAAGGAATTCAAAAATGTATATATGAAAGAAATATGTCTGTATATTTACTTTGAGTGAACTGCTCATCCACAAAATCATTGATAATTGGTTAAAACCTATGTAAAATAGCAAAGTAATATTTTATCATGTTTACACAAAGTTATCATGTAAGTGAAATGGTAGAAACAGTCTATGTTACAACTCTTTCAACAATTGACTGTAACATAGAAACAACATCATTTTACCCTTTTTATACGCCCATCCATCCGTCAGAGAAGTTTAGGTAGTTGTGGTCTGTGTCCAGAAAGGCAAAAAGTTGTTCCAGTTTTTTTCCCTTCATTCTGGATATGTCATATAGAAGTGTTAGAAGTGTGACCAAGTCATCTAACTGTAAACAGAACAAAATAGAACTATAGAGTTCAAACGGGCCAATTGCCTCAGAATTAAACAAAAGAAAATAACAAAAGAAATGGCCCTTTCTTTTTCCATTTCATCTGCCTGTCCAGGCAAACAAATGGAAACTTTTTGGGTACTGAGAACAATTAGTTGTTATTGTTGTTGCCGTCATGCAAAAATATCATGCAGTCCATTTCTTAAACAATTTTAAATTTTTCAACACAAAACTTAGAGCACTTCTTAATTATGATTCTTAATCATTGTAAGACAAGGGCAATAATTCTGAAAACAATGTTTTAGGAGTTGTGAAAATTTGTTATTAACCCTGCATGGGGTGCTCTTGTTATAAGTACCATCTTTAAAAAAATTAAAAATAATGTTTAAATTTTAATGCATAGCATTTATTAGTTGAAAAATAGATACATGTACATATGTTTCCTATTTGAAAAACATTAATAGCTCCTTTAATCCAAAGAAAAGTCTGACATTTTGCCCATTGTGTTAAAGAAACTTAGTAAGAATGATTTTTTTTTTAAAAATAACAGTTTCAAGTTAGCAGCATATGTATTTAAAAAACAAACTGTTCCAACCATTTGTGTACCTGAATTTCTTAAAGAAGCATGTCACCAGATTCATGCTTATTTTCATTATCATTTTGAAGATGTACATGTATTTAAAAGTAAACTATTGTGAAGTGAATAAAGAAAGTAATTTATACATAGCAAGCGGCACTTACAATCCATGTAAAAGACCAAAAATAGGTCAAAATATGCAAAAGTTATAGCCCTTCTTGATTTAGTAACACAGTAGAAATATGGTGATAAATACTGCAAAATCGGTCATTAATCACAGATAATATGTAAATCATTACTTAAATCTTGAATCAATTTACTTTTCTTAAAATCTGATTACAATTTTCTCAAGTGTGATTGATTTTCTTGAATATTTTGGCTCATCTGGAGGCATGCAGCTTTAAATGTACTTGACCATCTTTAAAATCTTTGAATTGTCCATTATCAGTTGTGGGAATATGAAGATGAAACTTTAAAGTAAGTAAGTCAACAGTTTACAGTCAAGTCTCTATACTAGTGACAAATGTTAGTCACCATTAGTTCAAGTAGGGTAACTGTTAATCTATCTTGTTTTGATCTGCAAAGTACAAAAACCAACAAGATGGGTTATAAATTGTATTGTTTATTTTATTGGGAATGTTATAGTTTCATGCCTTATAATTTTATTATCATATATGTCTGTTTCTCTTAGATTCTAATTTCTTGTAAGTTAATGCTTTAAACATAAATTGTGTTCAAATATAGGCCACTGAAAGAGATATGTTACTACACAGACTTTAATTGTCAGTTGAAGTCTGTGGTTACTATTAGAGATTAATATTGTCTGTATGTACAATGTAATTTGGCTATTTAAATGTCAAGACAAATTTATTGAAACTGTAATATGTTAATTATTGCATGATTTGTGTATGTTTTTGTTGTTGTTGTGATTGTTGATTTATTTCAGGGCTCAAAAATCAATTTGAGTATTTCTGGAATGTTGATGGTAAAAGTTTTTGTCACCTTGTGTTCAGTGTTATGTATACATGTAATGATTTTGATATGAAGAGCTTAAATCTGGTGTACTTCTAACTTCAAACATAGCTGTAATATTATTTAAGAATATTTTATTCTCCTTTAATAAAAGTATATAAGAGAATATATATGATTATGTACAAAAATGTTATGTTTAGACTGAAATATTTTTAAAAGTTTAATGAAATGTAAGCTGTTGTTTAGTAAGCTATTTCTAAATATAGTTTGTCATTTTATCTCATTATCTTATCTTGTTAGAATGTTGTAGGTTTGTTTTTGTTGTTGAACAAATGTCTGATCTGAATATTGTATATACATGTCAAATATACATGATGAACTAATACATTAATTAGAGAATTCTAATTTTGTTATACATCTTGTATATTGCTCTTTTAAAAGTTGTCTAGATTTTGTATGAATTAAAATAGAAAGTAAGAGAACTAAAATGTGGTTGTCATTTTTAGAGATGGTAGGAGAATGTAAACTAAAGCAATATAGAGAAATCCAAGATATTGGTAAGATGCAAAATATTTAGATTGAAAGAAAAAACATGACTATTGCATGTACTACAAATACATTTTTGATGAAAGTTTGGGCTGGTGGAGTTTAAATAAGACAGGTTTCACTGTATACGCTGTTGTGTGTTTATAGTGTAAATTTAACAAAGATTTCGTGTTTATTATGTTCAAATGATAAAATTAACCCAAATGATATAGAAATGATATAGTTACCTTTGTACACTGTACATGTATTAGCTTTGTTTGATAATGAACAATAAGTGCACATAGCATCCCGTTAGTTGTCTTAATCAACAAGTTGATTTAGAAGACCTTCAACAGCTTAAATAAGTCTTAATGTATATCATTTGTAATCATCGGGGAAAAGGCAGTGTTTTAGTTGTCAGCCATCTCACGGATTTATATTACAATATGTAATATAAATCCGTGGCCATCTACTGTATAGATTCTCTAGCAAAGTTGTTCAAATTTTGTCCATAGTGTCAAAATTGGCCCCACCCTGGGGGTCATAGGTTTTTATAATATGTATATAGTAAAATCTTTAAAAAGTCTTCTCTGAAATGACAAAAGTTAGAGGTTAGATATTTGGCATGATACATTGTACGAAGAGTGTTCAAATTTATTTTCAGGTGAGCGATATTAGGTCCATCCTAGCCCTCTTTATTATTATTACTATTATTATTGACGACTTTATCTTTTACAGACGCTCCTTTATTCATATGATTTCTACTCATATTGTTCATATACGATTTATAGATCACGACAAGACAACTCGTGGTTGTCTATATCACGTGACTACAGTCATATGAATGATAATAACAAATTTTATATAGTAGACATTTAAAGTGTGTTTTTGCGTAGAACATACCTAGGAACTTCATATGCAAATCAGCAATCAAAGTAAGTACATTACTTTGCATAACTAAACAATATGTCACAATAGTATGTTATATTTTTATACATTTGTTCATGAATGTGTACGTTTAACCGTCGATACTTGATATCTTGTTAACAGTTCACGCTTTGAAGATACATACACGGTTTAAGCTAAATAATTTTATAAATTTAACTGGTACATAATGTAGGCTATATATGAGAGATTTTAATACCAACATTAAACAGAATATGTATACATGCAATATTAGTGCTTTTATTTTTCCAGCATATTCATACTTTCCACCGCATCTGAAAAATCAAATTGTCGGTAAATAGATCTTTTTTTATATATATATAATTTCCGTGTTTGCCTATTTGTCGGATCACCTATATAAGTGATATAAATCGTGGTTTATATATTGTTATTGTAGCATGAAGACGACACAGTGCTTGTTTTATATCTTAGTATTGCTTCCCGTGGTATATACCTTGCCATATCTACACTCAGAATGGAAACTCTGGAAGAAAAAGTATGGAAAAATGTATGACACAAAGAACGAGGAGAAAATTCATTTTGATAACTGGAAGAAAAACTACGAATATGTCATAAACCATAATAAAATGGGCGACCGAGGTTTTTCATTGGAAGTGAATCAATTCGCAGATCAGGTTATTATACATATTTTGAACATGCTTGTTATAATTAATGTATATATACATACCGGTTATTATTTCAGCTATAGCAGAGTTATGGAAGGGACCTTTAATTAAATGCATACTGCAATACACAATAAATGGTCTAATTACAATTGTCTTATAATACTGTGTACTCACAATGGTGGTATAAATTACTGTTAATATAATTATACAATATGTGTCCCTGAAAACACAGATGCATGTTTGAAGAATGTTCTTATACATACTTTTGAACAATGTGAACACGTAGGCTTTGTCTCCAGATCATTGACCAATTCTGACGAACTTAAAGTAACTATAATTTATTTCAATTAATTCTTAACGAATTTATTTCAATTAATTGAGTCTCAATAAATTAGTAATGAAGATCATATTCTTATTTTATACTCTGGTACGTAAATTGTCAAAATCAATAATAAGCATAACAAAATACAGATAACAGTAAAGTGTGAACCGGTTATCATTTGTTTGTCTACAGAAAATCCTCCGACCATCACCTAGTTTACCAAACAATGAAGGTCATAAATTGCAAGACAATGCTGACTTGATATTTGTTCCCAAAAGTCAATCTGCTCCTGCAAGTTGGGACTGGCGGGAAAAGGGTGCTATTACTGCAGTAAAAAATCAGGGACAGTTGGGAGATGTTCAGTCAATCGTTACCGAAGGTAATGAATATAAAGTTATTTTTTTTATTCCGAGTTTATTTCATTATATTTTTTTAGTTGAATACAAATAAAGAAAATTTTGGTGATCAAAAGTAGTTTCTGATATGTCCATGTATCCAATTATTCGTCAGAGAGCATATTGTTTTTGTCCAGTTAATAAATATTTGTAAAAAACATCTTCATTTTGTGAGCTTTGCCATCACACCAGGGCATACTTAGACACAAGCTTATTGTAACCTATCAAAATATGAGCTTAACCTCTAAATGACCCTGCTAAAAAGGTAGGGGTCTCTATGGTCGAGTGGTTACGGTCGAAATCATCTGGCCCTCACCGCCGATGATTCAACTCCCAATAGAGACATTGGATTCTTTCGTGTTATTTACGTAGCTTATAGAAGGTAGTGGATTCTACAGCGAACCTTTATGTAAAAGGACACAGGTGGCCGCCCTCTGGAGAACCTGTGGTCTTCTTCCTCCAATAAAGTTAGAAAGTCGCCATATTAAAGTGTCGGTGTGACTTAATTTTAACTCCAACAAAACGAAACAAAGGTCACATTTTCAAATTCAGGAACAAAACTTCGGATATTAAAAGATTACTTGTTTCAATGACGGATTGGTCCAACACATACGAAGGGCATATTTTGATTAGTAGCAACGGCAGCGTGTTTTTATAAATAAGTCATACCTGTGAAAAATGATTATAGTAGAGTCCTTCAAAATATTCACCATGGACCTATACATACTTCCCATTCCGAAACACATTTTTAAACTGTTCTTTGGGTATACCGTTTATACATTGGTAGAGAGCGCTTCCGATGGCACTATACGGGTTTCGAACCGGTGATCGTGAAGGCAAGCTTTGATGTATGGATTTCACCAAGAGTCACAAGCAGAGAGGTTAGGACTATAAGTGGGATGTAGCAAAACCTCAATTCTCTGCTCTTCTTAATAAGCTTGAACCAAGGCTGACCGTTTCGCAGGTGTATTATCATGGAATGATTTAATCCTGCACAACCTGGACCTTGGGTTCTTTCTAATGTAATGATTAACTACAGCTCTGAGAACATGGTCACGGTAAAATGTTCCAATGACACTTCCCCTCTTAGGCACAGCGACACGGGCCACTTTTCCATCACTGGCAAACAATAGAGCATACATAACTCTTTTAACGCTCCTGCTACGTCGAGCAATGCTGATTACACCTACCCACGTTTTGTTACTTAGTTTATCGTCGGGCTCAAAAAACAATTCACGTTTTATCTCCTGTGAGAAGTTAGCAAATAAGGGATCCAACGGGCGCGCACTTACCTTACCTTAACTTTAACTTTTCTTTCAAGATGGAAAACACATATGACGCACTATGTTCCCGATATGTCACTTTATCTCCTTCACGTTATATCTTGCTTCTTCATCAACTATGGCTTTGACAGTACTGATGTCTTTTTTAGAGGCAGCGGATATTGGCACTTATTAAAATATGCCCCTCGTGTATGTATAGTTTAAATGGTATCCGTTTAGTTCAAGCATACGTTCATGCGTGGTACTTTTTTATTTGTCAGAGTGTGTTGAGAGTTACGGTCAAATCAAGACAGGAGAACTTGTAGCTGTGAGCAAAATAGAAATACATGACTGTTGTGTACATCAACATTTTGTAACAGAGGATATTTTCGGGTGTATACACAATATGGGAGGTGTATGTTCCGAGGCCGATTATCCACAAACACCAGGACAATGCAGGAACAACACGTGTACCCCTGCTATTCAGGTTTACTTGTATTTATCTCCTATAAAACATCAGTTTTCTTTTTCGAAGTGTATACCAAATGTCATACTACGCGCTGCTCTTAGTTCACGGTATTTAACGTACGTTTTGTAACAAGAAGGAAAACAAACAAATCTTCTCAAATGTTGCACAAAAGGCGAGCGAATATGTTAATATAGTTCTTGTTTCTAACTTAATGATGGCTTATCCACATCGGTATCCTCTGCGAAATCTACTAAAACGGTGCCCTCCCTGCATACACACAGGCCATTCTCAACTGAAAAGCTTCTATAGTATACGTTCCTTCTACTCATAAAAGTTGGTATGTCGAGTGAAAAAGAAGTAAACCACGGAACACTAAAATGTTTAACTATGCCTTTTTAGAAGTCGTTGTGTGTTCTTGTAATGCATTCGAGTATTTAATTTGATCAATATTAACACATTCATCCGGCTTTTGTGCAGCATGTGAGAAGATGTATTTCAAATTTATTTCCTAACTTTTCACAGTGAGAGATGTACACAGGTGAATCTTAAATAATGGTCCATTTCATTTGCAGATACATGGCGGAATGAAAGTACCTGTTGGAAATGAAACAGCTCTTATGGACGCTGTGTTTAAAATGCCTGTTATGGCTCTAATAGATGCTAGTCATGCTTCATTTCAATTATACAGAAGTGGAATCTACAGCGAACCATTGTGTAAAAGCACACAATTAGACCATGCTGTTCAAGTAGTTGGATACGGTAGCATGAATGGAAGAGATTACTGGATATGCAAAAACAGTTGGGGTTTGTTTACGTTTATAACACTATTTTAGAAATGGTTCATCATGTATTTTAAGAACCTCGTCTCTTGATGGTATTGCTGTAAAGATAAACAATTAAATAACTGTTTCCCGTATTCGGTCGACATATAAATTTGCGGCCTTGGGTGCTTCATTAAAGAACAATTTCAATATGGATGCATGGTTTTATATTTTACAATTATTTTTGTTGAAGATGAACATTGGACATTTTTTAGTGTGAACTTTTTTATTTCATTTTAATAATGCTATGTGATGTAATTCTTTTGCAATGTAATTCAGGGATAAATAATAATTCTTATAAGTTTTAAACAATATTGTATAGAACATATTAGATATTATTACAGGCATGGTTGTAAAGCTGACATATACAATAAGTATTTTATTAATTCCAAAATATTGCAAAATTACATTTTGAATGCTCGAAATGTTGCAAACTGGACAAAGTACATGAAATAAAAAAGCATGAACGATGAATAGAAATGTACGTTTTATATCTAAATGTGTCGATTATGGTGGCTGATTTGTTTCACTTTTGCGCGTCGCGTTACCTCTGGCAAACGTCGCATTATCTGACAACACGACAGAGCGTCAAACGGCGCGTTATTGCCTTGTCGTCCTGTCGCTAGCGAACACGCAAAACAACGCGTTGTCTCACGGCGTGTTGGCGCATTGTAGATTGACTCAAATGGAAGAATTGACTTTTGGCGTTTTGATGCTTGCGACAACGAGTCATGCGACAGCACGATAAGAAGCCAACCGTTTGATATAAGCCAAGCGACAGGACGACATGGCGACAACGCGCCGCAGGATAACTCGCAGACGAGAAGACGAAAAGGCGATAACGATATTTGCTGTGTTGTCGCTTGCGACAACGCAACGCGCAGGTGTAACAAATCAGCCACCATAGTTTATTAACGGGTGTGTTTCTTTAAGGAATCCGTATTAAATAAGTTCTATGTACACGTTTTCCTACCGATGATTAAGACTTCTTTCAAGGTCATTTATAAAGTGAATGACTTAAAAATTAAATAACTATTCCTTTTTATTTCAGGTGTAAATTGGGGGGATAGAGGTTATATTTTGATGGCGAGGAACAAGGGCAACATGTGTGGAATTGCCTCATTTGCTTCATATCCTGTATAAACAAGAAAAGATGTCAAAAAGTAAAAGAAACCTACAGAAATTATTATGCTTCATTGGTCTGCTTGCAGAGTCATTACAAACAATGTTAGAACAAATATTTGTGTTTATTTCCATTGAACTCAGCTCTACTGAGGTGAAAAGCCTAAATACATAAAAATTGTAATTCTTACATAGATGAACTTTTGTATTTAAAATGGAAAATATGCAATAAAAATTAATGTTAAAGAATTATATTCGAAATTAAATAGAAAAAATGTGTTTGTGTGGACTATCAACCTGTTTGAATCAAAAGCATTTTACAACGCTTTTCTTTAATTAGTCATTATACACAATTAAAATGATTATTCTGAAGAAATAAAATCTTAAATTCTGCACACAAGTTGTTGGCCCAGACTTCCATGGTATATAAATCTCAACAAATATTCTCTGTCCCGTCATGTAAAAAAAACTCAGTGCAGTCCCATTAATACAAATGTTGCAGCAAGAATCGCCCTACAGTGTATGTGTGAACTTTACAAATAATTTTTTTTAAACTTTTCTTCAAAACTTTTTTTCCGCGCCCCTTACTCTCTAACTGCGTACTCTTTTACTATTCCGCAATAAAGCTGTTGCAGCACAATTTATGAGCCTAAGATAATTATTTTTAATTGAATCGAACTTCTGAAGTTTATATATTATAGCTGATAACTCGACAAAATCAAATATTGTTGTTGTTGTTGTTTTTTAATCCAGTGTCCAATTGATATACATGTACATTGTATTTATATATCATTGACGTCGTTTCTATATGTATGTTTTTTATTATCCTCCTGGTGATATTGTGAAACCGTTAGCTCTAGGCATTACATAAATTAAACGTAGGTTTGTCGTCATAATTATTACTGTGTATATGGTCTTTTATTATGAGACCTTTCTATCTAACCATACTGATAACCGAGATAATTATATAATTATAAAAGATTGCATTTTTTATAAAAAAAAAACGTTGAAAGAGGCGGAGGAATAATTGTTTTTTTTTTATTTTGGACAGAATTTAATGTAATCGATTATATATACATGTAGATATGAAAGAAAGTAATGAGCGGGAAATTATACACAGTAAAAAATCTGTCGAAAAATTGGCACATCGCAGCCGGGACATTTATGATATTATGACATTTATTACATGGACATGTACGCCAATGCTCCATTCTATACAAATCCGACACTGATATTCTTGTTGATAAAAAGTCTTTAAAATGGGGGCTCCATTATATTGAGGTAAAAAAACACCCTCGTAAAATATAGATCAAGTAAAGCACTTGAATTGAAAAATATTAAAAAAAATGATAATAATAATTAAGAAATATACTCAGAATTAGATTGAAAATCGGTAGTTTGTACATTTATAAGCCGATTTGAATCAAAAGCGTTGCAACGCTTTTAATTTATGGGTCATTAATTTTGTACAATAAAAATGATTAATCTGAAAAAATGGGGGTGGTGTGACATGGAAACTTGCATACAAGTCTCTCAAAATAAAGTTATCATTGTAATAATTATTATGTATACTTTATTACAGTAATGAAGTCGCATATTATTTACCCTTCCACGGTTTTCACACAGTACACGTACCTTGCAAAGTAGATGTATCTCATGAATTTTATGAAACCTGGTCCCGTGTTCACTAAAAAAAGATTAGGGTCAGGATCAAATGATCCCGATATTTGTTCATTGTTTTATAAAAATAAAATTGATCGTATTTTAGGATCAATATCAATATTCGGAACAACTGTAAAATGGCCATATCTTCTAAAACAACAATTAGAAACATATTTCAAGTCCAATATAATGATGTGCCATTCAGGCCTAAGTATGTAGTTATCTTCAGAAGCCTACGTCCTCTTATCTATAAAATTGCACCCGTAACATATTTGTTTAACAGCTTTTACAAATTTATGGTTTAGACCACGAAAGGAAATCGACTTTTTTTAAAGACAGCTGAGACCGGAAAACGGAGAATGTCTTTTATCATGTCCCTAAGGCTAAACTAAACTTCCCAAACAAATCAGCTGTTATTTTTTTTAAAATTCATAGTATTCTTCAGAGTTGGAATAATAGGAAAATGACGTGCATCACATTTTTACACTCACTGTTTATATTATGTTTGATATTTTGTAGTGTTTGAGAAAATAAGGCAATGAATTGGAATTTTGGCTGCTTTGTCATCAGTTTTCGCAATGAAAACAAACAAAACTGTCGAATACAAAACTAGAAGTAGCTGTGAAACACAAATGTTTATGTAAAACTTGAATCCAATTTATTACATGAATGTGATTTACAGTGATGCTGTAAATAGCTGAGAAACCTTAAAAGTTAATTACACATTCTCTACTATTTATTCTTTTTGAATAACTATGGCTGAAATTACTGAATATACAGTTTATAACAGTTTACATGCTGCTGCTGAAAGTTTAACCCAGCATGAAATACAGACTAACTGTAGATATGCAGTGTATAGAAGTACAAAGGATTTTGGGAATGCAGGTTTGTATAATTGATTAATTTTGAATGTCATAGTCAAAATATATTGACGTGCCAAAGCTTGATTCTGAGATATTTTCGTACTGGGGCAGAATCACACTTTTAAAGGCGAGATATTGCCCAGACACGAAAATGGCACAATATATGTCTTCACGCAGTACAATCAGTTGGACTAACATGCTGTAATCTCTAGACTGCCGTCTGGCACACTTTTCATGAGAGTCAGCTAGTAATTGTGATCATATTTATGAAAATTTACAACGTAGTTTCCTGATATTTACTTTCAAATATTGTGATATGTTAAATTATATACATCATACGATATCAAAAATAGTCAGTGTATGGTTCTATATATCTTTCTTGTGGAGTCGCTGGGGTCAACAAGGGAATTCATTAAAGCGATGTCTTTCGTGTTCAATGCGGACGTGCCTAGGGAGGTCATCTTCCTTTGGGTTCAGTTACGAATCATTTGGGTCTAGGTCACAAATATCAAAAATAGATTTTTTATACTTTTACAAGTGTAGTTAACCTATTTTATTGACTGATGTCGTTTATATTTGGTTGGAGCATAAAATTGAGAAGTCATGGATGATTGAGTAAGGTGTCAGTTGGGTCAAGGTCACCAGTTCTAAAAATAGATTTTTACACTTTTGCCCATACAGCCTTTATTTATTGACGGATTTCCATCATATTTGGCATGAAGATACTTGCATATACATGTTTATTACCCAGTCCTTCCAGATTTTTTCCGCCTTTTTGATTGGATATTGATCACCCGAAAGAAATTGATATAACCGAGCCAGACGGGTAATATAGACACTAAATTTCCCCGTTTGGTACCCAACGTTGTAAACAACATGCGCTAAGGTGATGTTCGATTTTACGCGGTGTAAATTCCGATTTAAAAGCACTTTTTAACTGTCAAATGATCAATATTACCAAAGTAGAGTAATGATACATATTACCATCAGTATCGAAAACAAATATGACCTTGTCAAAGCTTGATATTAATTACAAAAAAGTGCGTTCAATAGACTACTCCTTTTCTCTTGTTTACTTTCGTAAGGTACGGGAAAAATACGTCATGTATTTATGTGACGTCATGTTGTGACGAAGAGGTATCCTAAAGGGAATCTTATTTCGACGTTTCATTTGAAGCAGCAATGATTTTTGTGTCGCCTTGAAAAGGTGACATATAGGGGTTACTTTTGTCGGCGGCGTCGGCGGCGTCTGTGTTGGCGTCGTTGTCGGCGTCGTCGTCGGCGTCCCCTAAAGCTTGTCCGGAGCATAACTCAGTCACTATAAGTCTGGGTGACTTCAAACTTGGTATGCATGCTTCTTTCAATAACCCGAAGTGCAGTGCCTTTTGTTAATTTTCATACTTTAATTTTGTCCGGGCCATTTCTCTAAAACTAAAAAAGCTATGGACTTGAAACTTCATAGGATGATAGATCTCATTAAGAAGAAGTGCAGTGCACAAGAACCGGTACTCTGCACTTCCTAATTTTTGAGTTATTGCCCTTTGTTAATTTTCATACTTTATTTTTGTCCGGGCCATTTCTCTTAATGTATAAAAGCCATGGACTTGAAACTTCATAGGATGATAGGTCTCATTAAGAAGAAGTGCAGTGCACAAGAACAGGTACTCTGCATTTCTTATTTTTTGAGTTATTGCCCTTTGTTTATTTTCATACTTTAATTTTGTCCGGGCCATTTCTCCTTAAGTATAAAAGCTATGGACTTGAAACTTCATAGGATGATAGGTCTCATTAAGAAGAAGTGCAGTGCACAAGAATCGGTACTCTGTATTTCTTAATTTTTGAGTTATGGCCCTTTGTTGATTTTCATACTTAATTTTTGTCCAGGCCATTTCTCGGAAAGTATAAAAGTTATGGACTTGAAACTTCATAGGATGATAGATCTCATTAAGAAAAAGTGCAGTGCATAAGAACTGATACTCTGCATTTCTTATTTTTTGAGTTATTGCCCTTTGTTGATTTTCTTACTTTATATTTGTCCTGGTCATTTCTCCTCAAGTATGAAAGCTATGGACTTGAAACATCATAGAATGATAGATCTTATTGATAAGAAATTCAGTGCACAGATATGCTGCTCTGCACTTATCATTTTTTTATGCCCCCGCCATGTAATGGCCGGGGCATATAGTGTTACCCTGTTCCGTCCTTCCGTCATTCCGTCCTTCCGTCATTCCGTCCTTCCGTCATTCTGTCATTCCGTCATCATCAGTTTCCGTTCATTATCTTAGTAACGAATGCACACATTCAACTCAAATTTGACATATGGATATGTCATGAGAAAATACAGGTCAAGTTCGAATTTGGTCATGGTTCGATGATTTTTGGCAGAGTTATGCCCCTTTTACTTTAAAATAATATGAAATTTTCAGTTTCCGTTCATTATCTCCCCAACGATACAACACATTCAACTCAAACTTGACATATGGATATGTCATGAGAAAATACAGGTCAAGTTTAAATTTGGTCATGGTTTGATGATTTTTGGCAGAGTTATGCCCCTTTTACTTTGAAAATAATATGAAATTTTCAGTTTCCGTTCATTATCTCCCCAAAGGTACAACACATTCAGCTCAAATTTGATATATGGATATGTCTTGAGAAAATACAGGTCAAGTTCAAATTTGGTCATGGTTCGATGATTTTTGGCAGAGTTATGCCCCTTTTACTTTGAAAATAATATGAAATTTTCAGTTTACGTTCATTATCTCCCCAAAGGTACAACACATTCAACTCAAACTTGACATATGGATACATCAAAAGAATGCGCAGGTCAAGTTCAAATTTGGTCGTGGTTCAATGATTTTTGGCAGAGTTATGCCCCTTTAACTTTGAAAATAATATGAAATTTTCAGTTTCTGTTTATTATCTCCCCAACAGTACAACACATTCAACTCAAATTAGACATATGGATATGTTTTTGGAATGCCCAGGCCAAGTTCGAATTTGGTCATGGTTCAATGATTTTTGGCAGAGTAATGCCCCTTTTACTTTGAAAATAATATGAAATTTATTTTTACTTTGAAAATAATATGAAATTTACAGTTTCTGTTCATTATCTACCCAACTGTGTTACATATTCAACTCAAATTTGACATATGGATATGTCAAAGGAATGGGCAGGTCAAGTTGGAATTTGGTCATGGTTTGATGATTTTTTGGCGGAGTTATGTCCCTTTCACTTTGAAAATAATATAGATACATCTTAGGAATAAGCACTCATACTTTTGTGGAAAGTTTGAATTTGGTCGTGGTTCAATGATTTTGGACAAACTTATCTTTCTTGAATGTTGGAAAAATTTTGAACTTTCAGTTTCAGCACTCATACTTTTGTGGAAATGTATGTAGCCATTATTTTGGCTACAAATATGAAATATGCTATTTTCAAAAGGTTAAGACTGAATAATTTCAGTGCTTTGAACATTGTATGAAAATGGTTTGTGTTAACATTGAAAAGTTTTAAGGGCTTTGAACTGCAAATGAAAAAAATAATTTGTGCAAACAAATTTGGAACTAAATATTATAACATCTGAAATTTTGGCTGCATGCGGGGGCATCCGTGGCATGATGACACATTTCTAGTTTAGTTATTGCCCTTTGTTATTTTTCATATTTCATTTTTGTCCTGGCCATTTCTCCTAAACTACATTGTTCACAAGGCGACACATCCGACTCGCGGAGTTCTAGTTTAAAAAATCGTCTAAACTCGGCAGGGGAAGGGTAATAAAATTATTATTTTGGTTTTGGAGTGATATATGTGGATATATTACCTGCCAAGATAAAATATCACCCTCGCCTGACGGCTCAGGTGATATAAAATCTTAACAGGTAATATATCCACATATATCACTCCAAAACCAAAATAACATATAATATATTTCTTCATTTTGATTGAGTTAGGAGTCAGTGGGTCAAGGTCATGGGTGCCAATAATAGATTTTTACACATTTGCTTATACAGCCTTTATTTTGATCTGATTAAAACCAGCTCCTAAATAATGCTACATTATGTACGAAATAAATAGATATAAACTTTAGTCAGATTGACTTTTGCTTTATTTATTGACAGATGTCTTTCTTATTCAGTGATGATTTTCTTATTCAATAGGGAAATATTTTGGTTGGTACTACATGTATAACTTTGGATGAAGGAGAAATGGTTGCTTGGTTCAAGTTCAAGGTTACCAGACTGATCAAAAAAGATTTTTACAATTTGCTCATGCAGCCTGTATTTATTGACTGGTGTCTCATATTTGTTGGTAGAAACCTTAGGTTGTTCTCTAGCTTTAGGTAAAGATATCTAAGGTCACTGGTGCAAAAATTATATTATTACACTTTTGCCCTTACAGCCTTTATTGCATTGAATACACTGACAAATGTGCTGGTTCAGCAATAGTCTTTAATCTTTTCAACAGTTTAATTGAAATACTCATAAGTATATTTAGTGATGAATAATTGCATGTGCCAGCATTTCACAATACTAGCAATAATGCTAAATTCTTTTACCTCCAGGTCTGGATACTGCTAAGAAAGTGTATTGGGAAGACCAGCCCAGTGTTAAAATTTGTCGCCAGAATTTTTCAGGAATTCCATTTGTAGTTCTTGGTCAGAAGGTATATGACTGTCAATTTGGGAAGAATAGAAAAGAGAAACGACGTAGGATGCGGGATGAGAAAAGAAATAGGGTAAAACTATTTCCATAACTTTAGAGTAAGGGGCCAATGGCATTGTATTAAACAAAAGAAGGAAAAGAAATTGGTCTTTATTACATTTCAGCCAGGTTCTTGTCTAGACTAACTCTCAAAAACTACTGATGCAATTTCATCCATACTTTACTGGAATGATCAGTACCAAGTCTAGTTGTCCATGTTGTCGGCATTTTCCAGTTGATAATTTTTGTCAGAGTTATGGCCCTCAAATGATTTTAATTTTTTAAGTTTGTTACTAATGCAGTGACTCCTCTTATTAATGCAATTTCAGTGAAATTTTACAGGATTGGTAGCTCAAATACTTGCTTATGTTACAGGGATTTTCCAGTTGCATGATTTATGACTGAGTTATGGCCCTTTAATAAAAAAAGGTGTTTTGATCTGTTAATGTTTTTTGTGTTACCAGCTACACTGAAGCTGATAATTATACCCCCACCACAAAATGTGAGGAGGGGGGCTATAATGGATTCGCTTTGTCGTGTCCGTCCGTCCGTCTCCATTATCATGTCTGCTCTATAAATCCTATACCAATTGAAGGATTTTCGTCAAACTTGGCTCAAATGTTCACCATAACAAGGGGATGTGCAGAACCCATGTTGTCCATGTGTCGGCTCAAGGTCAAGGTCACAATTGAAGGTCAAATATCAAACAATCAAATATTTGACAGTATGTTCTGTCCTCTTTGTAAGTCCTACACTAATTGAAAGATTTTCTTCAATCTTGGCTCAAATTTTCACCTCAACTGGGCAATGTGCAGAACCCATGTTACCCTTTTGCCGGCTTAAGGTCAAGGTCACACTTGAAGGTCAAAAATTGACTTAGAATATTTTCTTTAATTTAAACATGTATTTGAATATTTCTGAAACTAGAAAAGGTATTTGTTTGAAACTAATGAAGTGTCACAAGTAAGATATGCAGGTCAAGTTTCATAACTCTGTATTGCATTTTGACAAAGTTATGCCCCTTTTTAAGTCTTCAAATTTACATATATTCAAATATTAGACAAAATGTTGTGTCCCCTCTATAAATCCTATACTTATGGAAGAATTTTTTTCAAACGTTATCAAATGTACACCTCAACAAGGTTATGTGCAGAACCCATGTTACCTTTGTGCCGGCTTAAGGTCAAGGTCACACTTGAAGGTCAAAAATTGACTTAGAAAATGTTCTAAAATTTTAACATGTACTTAAATATTTCTGAAACAAGCACAAGTATTTGCTTGAAACTTAAAAGATATATGAGGTGTCACAAGTAAGATATGCAGGTCAAGTTTCATAACTATGTATTGCATTTTAACAAAGTTATGCCCCTTTTTAAAGTGACATTATGCCCATCCAAGGGTATAAATGAGTGAACAAGTGAATGTCAAAATAAATTTTCATTTTGCCATAATTCCTTTTAATATCAAAATTTATTTCACATTAACAATAAACAACGTATGGATTCAAACGTAATTTTCGTAAACATCCATTGGAATTTACCTGTAATTTCATAAAAAGAGTGGGGCAGTCTCTTTATATTTTAGGCAGATTTTATCCCAAACATTTTCCAATATGAACTGTTGGTTAATCACCATTTCAAAAGTCAATTGCTTGAAATAAATAGTCATTTCAGCTCAACTTGACCATGAAAATATGAGCATAATGTCACTTTAAGTCTATAAATTTACATACAATCAATACTAGACAAAATGTTGTGTCCGCTTTATAAATTCTATACTAATGGAAGGAATTTCTTAAAATTTGACTCAAATGTTCACCCCAACTGGGCAATGTGCAGAACCTATCTTACCCTTGTGCCAGCTTAAGGTCAAGGCCACACTTGAAGGTCAAAAATTAGACTTAGAAAATGTTCTGAAATTTTAACATGTACTTGAATATTTTTTAAACTAGAACAGATAATCATTTGAAACTTCTAATATATATGAAGTGTCGCAATTAAGATATGCAGGTCAAGTTTCATAACTTAAAAAAGTGGGGGGGGGGGGGGATAACTTTGTATTGTATTTTGACAAAGATAAGTCTATTTTTATGTCTTTAAATTTATTTACTATAATATTTCTTAAACCAGAACAGGTATTTACTTGAAACTTAAAATTTATATGAATGGCGACAAGCAAGCTCAGATGATGAAAATTCTACAATTCTATTGAATTATGACACAAGTTATGTCCCTTTTAGGCTTAGAAAATGTTTTGATATAACCATTAATACTTAAATGCTTCTGAAACTAGAACAGATATTCACTTGAAACTATATAATATATGAAGGGTCAGAAGTAAGCTCAGTATGCAAAGTTCTTCCACTCTTAATTACATTTTGACATAATTATGCTATTTTCTTAACTTCATTGCTTTTGTTTGTTTTAGTACATTGGGAAAATGAAATGTTATTTGTAACTGTTTCGAACATGATTTGACAATATATATTATTTATTTATCATACTATTACCTGTACAATTTGTCTTTTTTTCACCAGAGATAATTTCTTTTTATGTATATGTATTTGTGCCACAAAAGTTATTCCCTTAACCACCTTTCCAAGTCGTCTTCTGTCAAGGACATTGGTGGGCGTATGAATCGCATTCAACAATAATTCTAGTTGTAGCTACAACTTTGAGGAATCACTTTTTTTGTGAGGGTCTGTTTCATGTGTGACAAGATTCATAACTCAAGCATGAATATTTCCAGAATTATTGCCCCCTTGAACTTGTTTTTTTTTATAAAGTTATTTATTACATGCTTTTCTGTTGTTTATAGAAATATATCAGTGAATAATTTCACTGTTTTGAATTTAAGCCCGTTACGTTGTTTCAGCGAAACACCAGCGTACACATTACTGGAAACCAACTTAATGGCGTGATGTCATAAATGACGTAAATGACGTCATGTTTTATTATTATTATTCAGCGCACTTTTCATTTAGTATTAGGTTAAAATGTCTTTTTAATCGTTTCTCTGCATATAATAAAAAGAAAATTTGTTTAGTTAGTGTAAGATCTGAATATTTTTACCTTGTGAACACCAAAAGTTCGTGGCTGCGACACTCGTGAAATATATAATACCTTTTGGTGCTCACTCGGTGAAATATATTCCAATCTTACACTGGACTAAACAAATATCCTCTATATATTGTTCTTCTTTTTTCACAGCATTGACTTTAAAATTGAAATTTTAGAAAAGCAACCAGCAAACATTATTTAACTTTCTATAGCAACCATTGAACCATTGCAAATAATAGCAGGCACTGACTTACAAGGAAAACATTTATTTTGTATAGCAAACAGTAACATCTTATGGAACTGTTGTTCTCCCTTAGCAATAGCAATCAGTAATGTTTTTACATGTGCACTATTTCAGATAGAAATATGTTCACTTCGTGATATTAGTTTTTGTTTTGTTCAAATGATTTTTGAGTTATCCTTCTTGAACTTAGAAAAATAAGAAAGAATCACCTTTAGTTCTAGTTTAAGATTATGATTTTTTATGTTGCTAAGGGTTATAATTTTTTCATATTGAAATGCTCTTGATATTTGAAAATATGGAGTACCTTAGTTATATTTACTTAGAATTTTATTATTACAATTAGAATGAAGACCGTACTCTGTATACTAAAGGGAAGATGTGTCTAGACACAAAGAAAATTGACTGTCCAGCAAAGTGTGTCTTTAGAGAAATTTGTCGATTTCCTTCATATAGGGTAAGTTATTTAATTAGTTTGACTTATTTAAAAGACAAATTTCAAGCTATTGCTACTGTCAGGTTGTCATTCCTGTTGCTGTTGCCACCAAGAACCATTAACAGTAGGCATTATGTTTTTTCTAATTTTAATAAATTTCAATAATTTGACCTTTACAGTAAAGGTCAAACTAAGGTCAAGGTGATATTTGTCCAAGTGTAATTAAAATCTATAAATTAATAACAATGCTATGACAATTTAAGCAAATTTCAATAATTTGACCATAAATTATTTTATCAGTTTGTTATATAAGTGTTTTTTTGTCCAAGTATAAATGAAATCTGTAGATAAATTACAAAGTTTAAGCCAATTGAAGCAAAATTCAGTAATTTAACCATTAGTGGCAAGGACAAATTAAGGTCAAGGTCAAGTTCAATTAAATTTTCTGTAATATTTTGTCCAAAAGATTGTAGTACCCAGGTATGAAGACAATCCATTCAATACTTAAATACAATGTTAAAGCCTTTTAGTTTTCAGGTAATGGTTATTTATGACTCAAAGTCAATTTGAGTGATATTTGAGACATTGTCTTTATGGTTGTTTTGATCTAGTATGAAGACAATTCATTCATAAATAACAAAGTTATAGCCAATAACTGCAAATATCAATTTGAATGTCAAGGTTATTAATGGGTGAATTTAGTCAAAATCATTTGGTCCTCTTGTCCAAAGGAATCTTGTGTTCAAGAATGAAGTTTGTTTAACAAAAATAAAACTTTTTTGAAAAATTGTTACTGACAAGAACATGAGCAAGGGGCATTTGTGTTTTACAAATACGTTCTTGTTTTTTTTCTAACATCAATCAAAAATTTGTTTTACTTACACGGACAGAGATATTCTGATAGTTTGTCTATTGCCTATATGTAAGGGATGGTTTGATTGCATGGCTAAAAAAAGCTTTCTTGGGAATTGCAAATCACAATGAAGGTGAAACAAATATGGTGGCAATCTGACTTTAGTCAGACAGAGTAATACTAAGTTTTTCTTAACACCAAACTGAAAATAGAAAATGTAAATTGTATGCAAATGATAACATTTCAAATGTTAAATGTAAATTCTAAATTTGCTATCAGATACAGAATAACACTTTGCCTGAAAGACGCAGGATTGCAGAATATTTGATGAAGCAAATTTGTTCTGGGCAAAAGGTGGAGTTTGAACGGGAAATTGTTACCAAAATTGCCACGCTTAAAGAACACACTTGTCATCAAATATTAGGAGAGGTATGAACGCAGCAGATTTATGTTATAAATTTATGTTATATATTTATGACTCCAATAAAGGTTCAGTTTAAATATATTTTGTGCTATAAATTGTCTGCCCATGTGTTTGTTATCAGAGACAGAATTGAGTGTCAGGCTTTATTTGTCATCCAATGAAAATGCTGTATTTCTAAAAAATTCTGTGTGTTAATTTTCACAGAAGAACAAAAGTCGAATATAAAGCAATTTTCATTCATAGTCCCCTTCTGTTTTTATGCCCCCGCCATGTAATGGCCGGGGCATATAGTGTTACCCTGTTCCGTCATTCCGTCCTTCTGTCATTCCGTCATCATCAGTTTCCGTTCATTATCTTAAGAACGGTTGCACACATTCAACTCAAATTTGACATATGGATATGTCATGACAAAATACAGGTCAAGTTCGAATTTGGTCATGGTTCTATGATTTTTGACAGAGTTATGCCCCTTTTAATTTGAAAATAATATGAAATTTCAGTTTCCGTTCATTATCTCCCCAACGGTACAACACATTCAACTCAAACTTGACATATGGATATGTCATGAGAAAATACAGGTCAAGTTCGAATTTGGTCATGGTTCGATGATTTTTGGCAGAGTTATGCCCCTTTTACTTTGAAAATAATGTGAATTTTCAGTTTCCGTTCATTATCTCCCCAACGGTACAACACATTCAACTCAAACTTGACATATGGATATGTCATGACAAAATACAGGTCAAGTTCGAATTTGGTCATGGTTCGATGATTTTTGGCAGAGTTATGCCCCTTTTACTTTGAAAATAATATGAAATTTTCAGTTTCCGTTTATTATCTCCCCAACGGTACAACACATTCAACTCAAACTTGACATATGGATATGTCATTAGAAAATACAGGCCAAGTTCGAATTTGGTTATGGTTCCATGATTTTTGGCAGAGTTATGCCCCTTTTACTTTGAAAATAATATGAAATTTTCAGTTTCCGTTCATTATCTCCCCAACGGTACAACACATTCAACTCAAACTTGACATATGGATGCGTCAAAAGAATGCGCAGGTCATGTTCAAATTTGGTCATGGTTCAATGATTTTTGGCAGAGTTATGCCCCTTTCACTTTGAAAGTAATATGAAATTTTCAGTTTCTGTTTATTATCTCCCCAACAGTACAACACATTCAACTCAAATTTGACATATGGATATGTTTTTGGAATGCCCAGGCCAAGTTGGAATTTGGTCATGGTTCAATGATTTTTGGCAGAGTTATGCCCCTTTCACTTTGAAAATAATATGAAATTTACAGTTTCTGTTCATTATCTACCCAACAGTGTTACATATTCAACTTAAATTTGACATATGGATATGTCAAAGGAATGGGCAGGTCAAGTTGAAATTTGGTCATGGTTTGATGACTTTTTTTGCAGAGTTATGTCCCTTTCACTTTGAAAATAATATAGATACATCTTAGGAATAAGCAGTTTAAGTATGAATTTGGTTGTGGTTCAATGATTTTAGACAAACTTATCTTTCCTGAATGTTGGAAAAATTTTGTACTTTCAGTTTCAGCACTCATACTTTTAGCCATTATTTTGGCTACAAATATGAAATATGTTATTTTTAAAAGGTTAAGACTGAATAATTTCAGTGTCTTGAACATTGTATGAAAATGGTTTGTGTTAACATTTTAAAGTTTTAAGGGCTTTGAACTTAAAATGAAAAAAATAATTAATGCACCATCTGAAATTTTGGCTGCATGCGGGGGCATCCGTGACATGATGACATATTTCTAGTTCATATTGCATCATAGAATTGCGGTATGATAAGATGCATAACTCTAGCATCAAAACAATATTTTCAGAATTAGGTGAGGTATAGTGATGGGGCTATATCTGGCGTCCATCGTCGTGCGTCATTTGTCGTCAACAATTGGGTTGTTAACAGTCTAGCAGTCACAGTTTTGATTGGATCATCATCAAACTTTGTCAGAATGTTTATATCAATGAAATACAGATCAAGCTAGAAGATGTGTCATCTCGGGTCAAAAACTAGCTCACAGGAGCTAAAAATGGAAAAAGCTTGTTAATACTCTAGTGGCTGATGTTTTGATCCAAATATTCTGGAAATTTGTGAGGAAGGTTGTTTTGTTGATTTGTAGGTCAAGTTAGAATATGGGTCATCTCTGGTCAAAAACTAGGTCACATGAGCTAAAAATAGAAAAATCTTGTTAACACTCTAGTGGCTGCAGTTTTTATCCAAATATCCTGAATATTGGTCAGGAAAGTTGTATTGATGATTTCTAGGTCAAGGTTGAATATGGGTCATCTCTGGTCAAAAACTAGGTCACAGGAGCTAATAATGGAAAAAATTTCTAACACTCTAGTGGCTGAAGTTTTGATCCAAATATTCTGGAAATTTGTGAGGAAGTTTGTTTTGATGATTTGTAGGCCAAGTTTGAAGATAGGTCATCTCAGGTCAAAAACTAGGTCACAGGGGCTGAAAATAGAAAAATCTTGTTACCACTCTTAGTGGCTGCAGTTTTGATTCAAATATCCTGAATATTGGCCAGGAAGGTTGTTTTGGTGATTTCTAGGTCAAGTTTGAATATGGGTCGTCTCCGGTCAAATCTAGGTCACAGGAGCTAAAAATAGAAAAAAAATTTGCTTACACTCTAGTGGCTGAAGTTTTGATCAAAATATTCTGGAAATTTGTCAGGAAGGTTGTTTTGATCAAGTTCGAAGATGGGTCATCTCTGATCAAAAACTAGGTCACAGGAGCTTAAAATATAAAAAGCTTGTTAATACTCCAGTGGCTGCAGTTTTGATCCAAATATCCTGAATATTGGTCAGGAAGGTTGTTTTGATGATTTCTAGGTGAAGTTTGAATATGGGTCATCTCTGGTCAAAAACTAGGTCACAGGAGCTAGAGTTAGATAAAAAGCTTGTTAACACTCTAGTGGCTGCAGTTTTGATCCAAATTTCCTTGAAATCTGTTGGGAACGTTGTTTTAATGGTTTCTAGGTCAAGTTCGAATATGGGTTGTCTCCGGTTGAAAACCAGGTCACAGGAGCTTAATATAGAAAAATCTTGTTAACACTCTAGTGGCTGCAGTTTTGATCCAGATATTCTTGAAATTTGTCAGGAATGTTGTTTTAATGATTTCTATGTCAAGTTTGAATATGGGTCACCTGGGGTCAAAAGCTAGGTCACACTGCCCAAATACGGAAAAACCTTATTAACACACTAGAGTTCACTTTTTGACTCAATTGTCATCAAAATTGGTCATGATGCAGACATTGCTTGGATGTGGTTCATGAGTCAGGGGAGCCATCTAGGGTTTTTAGCTCACCTTGCACAAAGTGCAGGTGAGCTTTAAGGATGGCCAACCAAATGGCGTCCGTCGTCAGTCGTCCGTCCACATTTTAAATATTCTAAGGACATCTTCTATGATACCGCAAGGCCAATGTTAATGAAACTTGGCAGGAATACTCTTTGTATGAAGCTCTATCAAGATTGTTCAAAGAATTCCATTTCATGCAGAACTCTGGTTGCCATGGCAACCGAAAGAAAAATCTTTAAATATCTTCTTTTAAAGAACCGTAAGAGCTAGAGCTTAGATATTTGGCATGAAACATCTTCTAATGAGTGTCTACCAAGTTTGTTCAAATAAAAGCCCTAGGGTCAAAATTGGCCCGGCCCCAGGGGGTCATTGATTTTCCCTATATGCATATAGTAAAAACTTAAAAAATCTTCTTTTAAAGAACCCAAAGAGCTAGAGCTAAGATATTTGGCATGAAACATCTTCTAGTGAGTGTCTACCAAGTTTGTTCAAATAAAAGCCCTGGGGTCAAAATTGGCCCCGGCCTGGGGGGTCATTGATTTTCCCTATATGCATATAGTAAAAACTTAAAAAATCTTCTTTTAATGAACTCAAAGATCTAGAGCTAAGATATTTAGCATGAAACATGTTCTAATGGGTGTCTACCAAGTATGTTCAAATAAAAGCCCTGGGGTCAAAACTGGCCCGCCCCGGGGGTCATTGATTTTCCTTATATGTGTATAGCAAAAACTTAAAAATCTTCTTTGAAAAAACCCAAATAGCTTGAGTTTAGATATTATACATGAAACATTTTTAAGTAATTATCTACAAAGTTTGTTCAAATAAAAGCCCAGGGGTCAAAACTGGCCCTGTCCCAGGGGTGTCATTGTTTTTAACTATATGTGTGTAGTAAAAACTTAAAAAATCTTCTTTTAAAAAACCCAATGAGCTAGAACTTAGATGTTTAGCAAGAAACATCTTCTTATGGGTGTCTACCAAGTCTGTTCAAATAAAAGCCCTTGGGCAAAAATTGGCCCGGGAGGGGGGGGGGCTATATACAGGTGAGCGACCTCAGGGCCATCATGGCCCTCTTGTTTTAGGTTTACCCTCCGTCCTTCTGTCTGTCTGTCCGTCCGTCAGTTGTCCCTTCACAAAACTGGATCCAGCGATAACTCAAAAAGTACTGAAAATATTTTTATGAAACTTGATATATGGAGATAATGCACATCTTTTTCTTTTGTCCCTATGTTGAAAATTCTGGTTGCTATGGCAACAAATAGCCTGAAAATATGGCAAATTTAACACATAAACTGGATCCAGTGATAACTCAAAAAGTACTGAAAATATTTTTATGATAATTGAAATATAGGTAGATGGCAGTCTGGAGATTATGCACATCTTTTTATTTTCTTCCTATGTTGAAAATTCTGTGCTATGGCAACAAAAAGTCTGAAAATATGGCAAATTTAACACATAAACTGGATCCAGTGATAATTCAAAAAGTACTGAAAATATTTTTATGAAACTTGAAATATGGGTAGATGGCAGTCTGGAGATTATGCACATCTTTTTCTTTTCTTCCTATGTTGAAAATTCTGGTAGCTATGGCAACAAATAGCCTGAATTTCAAGATTTCTGATTAAAAATTTTCAGTTTCACTATAAGTTCTTTATTTCTTAAGGTGTATACTTCAGACTTTAAATATAAGTTTCTGGTCATCAACCACATCATATATGACAAGGTTTACAACTCCAGCACAAAAATTTTCAGTATAACCTCCCTTGAACTTAGAATTTTTTATGAAAAAAAAATGTTGTCTTTTTAGCTCACCTGAGCACGAAGTGCTCAAAGGTGAGCTTTTGTCATCACTCTGCGTCCGTCGTGCGTCGTGCGTCGTGCGTCGTGCGTCCTTCAAAAAATGGCGTCAAACTTTTCAAACAACATCTCCTCCTAAACTACATGGCCAATTGCAACCAAACTTTACAGAAATGATCCTTATGTGGACCCCTTTCAAAGTTGTTCAAAAATTTAAATTCCATTAAAAACTCTGGTTGCCATGGCAACCAATAAGAAAAACTTAAAAAATCTTCTTCTAAAAAACCGTAAGAGCTAGAGCTTAGATATTTGGCATGAAACATCTTCTAATGAGTGCCTACCAAGTTTGTTCAAATCAAAGCCCTAGGGTCAAAATTGGCCCCGCCCCAGGGGGTCATTGATTTTCCCTATATGCATATAGTAAAAACTTAAAAAATCTTCTTTTAAAGAACTCAAAGAGCTAGAGCTAAGATATTTAGCATGAAACATGTTCTAATGGGTGTCTACCAAGTTTGTTCAAATAAAAGCCCTGGGGTCGAAATTGGCTCCGCCCCGGGGGTCATTGATTTTCCTTATATGTGTATAGCAAAAACTTAAAAAATCTTCTTTAAAAAAACCCAAATAGCTGGAGTTTAGCTATTAAGCATAAAACATCTTCTAGTGAGTGTCTACAAAGTTTGTTAAAATCAAAGCCCTAGAGTCAAAATTGGCCCCGCCCTGGGGGTCATTGATTTTCCTTATATGACTGTGTATAGCAAAAACTTAAAAATCTTTTTTGAAAAAACCCAGAGAGCTAGTGTTTAGATATAAAGCATGAAACATCTTCTAGTGAGTGTCTACCAAGTTTGTTCAAATAAAAGCCCTAGGGTCAAAATTGGCCCCGCCCCAGGGTGTCTTTGATTTTCCCTATATGCATATAGTTAAAACTTAAAAAATCTTCTTTTAAAGAACCCAAAGAGCTAGAGCTAAGATATTTAGCATGAAACATCTTCTAATGAGTGTCTTCAAAGTTTGTTCAAATAAAAGCCCTAGGGTCAAAATTGGCCCCGCCCCCGGGGGTCATTGATTTTCCCTATGTGCATATAGTAAAAACTTAAAAAATCTTCTTTTAAAGAACTCAAAGAGCTAGAGCTAAGATATTTAGCATGAAACATGTTCTCATGGGTGTCTACCAAGTTTGTTCAAATAAAAGCCCTGGGGTCAAAATTGGCCCCGCCCGGGGGTCATTCATTAGCTTGACTTTTTTTTTTTTAGATATATACATATTATATATATACATATATATTTAATATATATATATAGATATAGATATATAGATACATATTATGTATATATATATATATATATACATATATATATATATATATATATATATATATATATATATATATATATATATATATGTATGTATATGTATATATATATATATAAATACATATACATATATATATATATATATGTATGTATATATATATATATATATTTACATATATATATATATATATATATATATATATATATACATATATATACATATATATACATATATATATATCTATATTATATATATATATATATATATATATATATATATTTATATATATATATAACCAAGTTTGTTCAAATAAAAGCCCTGGGGTTTAAACTGGCCCCGCTCCAGGGGCCTATATACAGGTGAGCGACTTTGGGCCATCATGGCCCTCTTGTTTAAATAACTTTATTTCCTAATGTATCTACTTCAAACTTCATATATATGTTTCTTATTATCACTCAACATTTTTGAGAAGGTTAAATACTCTAGCAAGACTATTTCCAGAATTATGTCCCCCTTGAACTTAGATTTTTTTCGAGAAATTGGTATTTTTTACTCCAACTTCTTCATTTCTTATAGGATTTACTTTAAAATCCCACATTGTAATAATATGACAAGGTTGTATAAACATAATTTTCTTACTAGGCAGGGAAACTTAACACATTACTGTGATACAGACAAACTTAGAACTCAAAAGATTTAAGTTCATTCATGTCATTCATTCACTGGTAAAATCGAATGTTGCTGGGGTTCTAACCGGTAGGATACTTATGGATTGCTTGCAATACTATGATAATTGCTTGTTTATTTTTGTTATTATAAATGGTATTTACTCTTTGTTCTGTGTTATTACTCATATCATGCCTTATTTCCTCTTTGAATATATAATTCTACTTTAAAAACTTCATATACTTTTTACTCTTATCATTTTTGTTACTGAAGGGATTGATTTCAGACTTTAAATTGTTGTCTTTTCCCTTAGAGCATAGAAATGTCTGTTTAACTTTTAGAACATTTGAGTGTTTTCTTGATACTGATACAGAAATATGTTTATATCATTTTTTTTTCTCATAGTTTTGTCTTCCTTTACTGTGTCCAGTATTTAATTAGTCAAGCGTGCTGTCTCCTCTGCGGCTCTCATGTTAGGCATCATTTTCACTACAAAAATTGTTTATATCCAAACCTTAATGTAATTTTATATTTTATAATTTTATGCATATTCTAAAACAGAATAGCCGGGGGGAGGAGATCATGACTTACTTCCCTTACTTCCCCCACCCTTTTTTATCCACAAATACATACAATCTCCATCCAAGTGAGAGATCATCATGGTCCTCTTGTGCAATATATAGGTTTTTTTAGTTTATAGAATTAATGTTTAAGAATTGAAATATATGTTTTTTTCTATTCATGACATTGTATATGATTCATTTATGTCAGATAGTACCGGAGCCAATTGACCCGCGACTAGCAAGAAAAATTGTAGAGCTGTGTAATAGTGGAGTGAACAGTCTCAATGAGATGAGAAGTATTCTTAAAGGTTATGTTAGGAATATTTGTAGTCCTCTTCCACTCCCTAGTAACAGGCGGTTTTATCCTACAAACAAGTGCATATCAAACCATATGTTTCGGGCAATGAAGAAAGAGAGGAAAGAAGATCAACAAATCTTTGAAGACCTAGCTCATGTATGTATCATTTTAACTACCAACATTATTGTTTCTTTGGGAGAAAAAGCTATTTGGCTAGTAAAAGTGAAAATTGCTTAGTAAACTTCAATACAATTTTTTATGAATGTATAATGGATCAGTTTTAGCTCACCTGAATGTAGAGTGCTCAAAGATGAGCTTTTGTTATGCTCCCCATAAATTGGAAAAATTTAATAAGGTAAAGTTATGATTCTTGGATACTACACTTCCTGCCACTTGCCTCTATCATTTTGTGAAGTTTAAATAAAATTTCTTCATACTTTCCAAGTTATGCTCTGAACAAGATGGATGGATAGACAGACAGACAGACAATGCTTTTCCAAAGTTTAACTATCAATGTTATGGCATTGAAACTATACACAGTTGTAGAGACTAAAATGAGAAAGTGCATTTTCAAAGAACCATAACTCTACATTGTTTAGTTTTTAAATTATCTGCCTTAATACTACCTGACTATAAGTTCTAAATTATCAATGCTGTCTTTTTGAAACTTCTTACAGTTGTAAAGACTAGACAGAGAAAGTACAATGTCAAAGAACTATTACTCTATTTTGCTATTTTTTGATTATCTCTGTGTGAAATAATTGACATTGTGAATAACTTAAAATGTATGGAAGGAATACTTCATACATTCATGGAGTCCAGTGAGAGGAAGTGCAGTGTCAAAGAACCATGACTCTAGATAACTTAGTTTTTTTTAATTATCTTCTTTTATAATTCTTTATCATGCTTGTCTGGAGAAAAACTTGAAAAATATTGGAAGAATATAAATAAAACTTCACACAGGGACAGATACTTGTGAAAGGAAGTGCAGTGTCAAAGAACAATAATTTTACACTACTTAATTTTACCCTCTGGTCATCTGGCCATCTGTGTACACTACTTTCAAACCTTGAATAAAACTTGACAGGAATAATTGCCATGATGTCTTCTTGTGCATAAGGAACTTGCTGAAATTGGGTATAACTTTGTAATAAATGAATGCATTGTATTCATACTTAAAAATAATAATGCTTTTAACTATACCTTTGAGTAGGTCAAGCTTAACTTGACCTTTGCTAAAATTTGCCATAATTTGTTATTTATGGATGGATTTGATTCATACTAGAACAAAACAAGACTTAGCATAAATATTTGACTTGATGTGTCAAGAATCATGACCCTAGGTTAAAGGTCAAGGCAACACTTGAAGGTCCAAAGTCATGGTATGAATTTTTTATGAAAGTGTTCTGGTGTTGGTATCCTGTCAACAATTCTGTCATTTCTGGATGGATTTAAGAATTACTGTGCATAAATGTGTTGGACATAATGACGACATGTCAGGTGTATGAATCACGTCACTAGCTCAAAGGTCAAGATCACACTTACAGATCCAATGTAATGAAAATTTTTTTATTACAGTGCACAGGCCTTGATGTCCTGTCATTTTTGGATGGATTTAAGAATTTCTGTGCATGTATGTGTTGAATATTATGATGACATGTCGCTCACAAGAATCAGACCTCCAGCTCAAAAGTCAAGGTCACACTTATAGGTCCAAAGTTATATAAATTTTTATAAAAATGAACCGATGTTTGTGTACGATCAACGATTTTGTCATTCCCAGATGTATTTAAAAATAACTGTGCATAAATATGTTGGACATAATGGCACATAAGGCGTATGAATCAGGTCCCTAACTAAAAAGTCATAGCCAGGCTTGTACTCCAAAGTCATGATATGAATTTATTCACAAAAGTGCACTTATGTTTCCCATTCCAAGATGGATTTTTATGCCCCCACAATGTGGGAGCATATAGCGTTGCACTTGTCCGTCCATCAGTCCGTCCGTCAGTCCGTCCGTCAGTCCGTACGTCCCGAAATCTTGTGAACGCAACTCCTCTTAAACCAGATGGCAGATTTTGCTTAAACTTACAGGGATGAACAACCTTAATGTGTAGATGGTAGTAAAGGAAGGAATTTTCGCTGCGACCAAATTTAACAGAATTATGGCCCTTTGTTGATTTTTTCACTAGATACTATGTAGAAATTTTGTGAACACAACTTCTCTTAAACCGGATGGCAGATTTTGCTTAAACTTACAGGGATGAACAACCTTAATGTGTAGATGGTAGTACAGGAAGGAATTTTTGCTGCGACCAAATTTAACAGAATTATGGCCCTTTGTTGATTTTTTCACTATATACTATGTAGAAATTTTGTGAACGCAACTTCTCTTAAACCGAATGGCAGATTTTGCTTAAACTTACAGGGATGAACAACCTTAATGTGTAGATGGTAGTAAAGGAAGGAATTTTTGCTGCAACCAAATTTAACAGAATTATGGCCCTTTGTTGATTTTTTCACTATATACTATGTAGAAATTTTGTGAACGCAACTCCTCTTAAACCGGATGGCAGATTTTGCTTAAACTTACAGGGATTAACAACCTTAATGTGTAGATGGTAGTAAAGGAAGGAATTTTGCTGCGACCAAATTTTACAGAATTATGGCCCATTGTTGATTTTTTCACTATATACTATGTAGAAATTTTGTGAATGCAACTTCTCTTAAACCGGATGGCAGATTTTGCTTAAACTTCCAGGGATGAGCAACCTTAATGTGTAGATGGCAGTTAAGGAAGGAATTTTTGCTGCAACCAAATTTAACAGAATTATGGCCCTTTGTTGATTTTTTCATTATATACTATGTACAAATTTTGTGAACGCAACTTCTCTTAAACCGGATGGCAGATTTTGCTTAAACTTCCAGGGATTAACAACCTTAATGTGTAGATGGTAGTAAAGGAAGGAGTTTTTGCTGCGACCAAATTTAACAGAATTATGGCCCTTTGTTGATTTTTAGTTTTCAACTTGTGGCACATGTAGTGCAAAAAATATTTGACATAGAGTCATAAGATTGACAGAACAGTGGCGTGTGGGGGCATCTGTGTCCTATGGACACATTTCTAGTTTAATTTGGCATTAGTTTGTTTCACATAATATTGCTATCAATAATCAGGTCTTAAGCTCAAAAGTCAAAAATCATATTCATTTTTTTTAAAGTACATGGATGGTTGTGTCTGGTCAAGAATTATGTCATTTCAAGATGAATTTTAAAATAACTTGGCATGGATGTCTTAGACATGATGATTTTGTGTTGCGCGTTACGAATCAAGTCTCCAGTTCAACAGTGAAGGTCACACTTGTACATCATGTATAGATGGTCTTCTTTTGTGCATAGCTTTGTTATTCTTGGATGGACTTTGAAATAAAAAACCTATGCTGCTTATTATTCTGTTTTTCTTTATTTTGTTGTCACATTGTTATTTATGCTGTGTGGAGACCTAAAAAAAGTTGCCCCAAACATATAATCAAAGATGTTAATATATTTTCAATCCTCAGCCACCCAAGGGTCAAGTTCATACTTGAAAGTCAATTTTTTTTTTATGTTAGTGCTTTGATGATCATGTCCAGTCCATATCTTTGTCATTTAGTCACAGATTTTGTTCCAAGATAGCAGCCCAAGCTAAAAGAAAAAAGAAGAAAAAAAAACATTAAAAGGCATCTCCTTTATAACTGTTCGGTGGATATTGATGAAACATTACAGGAAAGATCCTTGGATGCCCTTCAAAGTGGCTGCCAAAGCTTAAAATAGAAAAACCCTTCAATGTAGATTTTGATGAAATTATACAGGTCCTCTATAGATCTTGTTCATGTGTACTAATATATTCAGGTGAGTGATTAAGCCCATCATTTGCCCTCTTGTGTAGATATTTCCCTTTGGGGTTTTTTTATGCCACCGCAGCATCTGCGATGCGGTGGCATATAGCGATTCACCTGTGTGTGTGTTTGTTTGTGTGTGTGTGTGTTATATAGATTATATAGTGAACTTAAAAAATCTTCTTGTGAAAAACCAGTAGTCCAATTTCAACCAAACTTGGCAGGATTGATCCTTGGGTGAAGGGCTTCCAAAGTTGTTCAAAGAATTTCATTCCATGCAGAAATCTGGTTGCCATGGCAACCAAAAGGAATTATAAGAACAAATTTAAAAAATCTTCTTGTAAAGACCCAAAAGGCCTAGAGCTTAGATATTTTGCATAAGGCATTGTCTGGTAGACCTCTACCAAGATTGTTCAAATTATAGCCCTGGGTCAAAATCGGCCCCGCCCCGGGGTCATTGATTTTCACTATATGTACATATAGTAAAAACTTAAAATACCTTATTGTAAAGACCCAAATAGCCTAGAGCTTAGATATTTTGCATAAGGCATTGTCTGGTAGACCTCTACCAACATTGTTCAAATTATAGCCCTGGGGGTCAAAATAGGCCCCGCCCCGGGTCATTGTTATATAGATTATATAGTGAACGTAAAAAATCTTCTTGTGAAAAACCAATAGTCCAATTTCAACCAAACTTGGCAGGATTGATCCTTGGGTGAAGGGCTTTCCAAAGTTGTTCAAAGAATTTCATTCCATGCAGAAATCTGGTTGCCATGGCAACCAAAAGGAATTATAAGAATAAATTTAAAAAATCTTCTTGTAAAGACCCAAAAGGCCTAGAGCTTAGATATTTTGCATAAGGCATTGTCTGGTAGACCTCTACCAAGATTGTTCAAATTTATAGCCCTGGGGTCAAAATCGGCCCTGCCCCGGGGTCATTGATTTTCACTATATGTACATATAGTAAAAACTTAAAAATACCTTATTGTAAAGACCCAAATAGCCTAGAGCTTAGATATTTTGCATAAGGCATTGCCTGGTAGACCTCTACCAAGATTGTTCAAATTATAGCCCTAGGGTCAAAATCGGCCCCGCCCCGGGGGTCATTGATTTTCACTATATGTACATATAGTAAAAACTTTAAATACCTACTTGTAAAGAACCAAAAGGCCTAGAGCATAAGGCATTGTGTTGTAGACCTCTACCCAGATTGTTCAAATTATAGCCCTGGGGTCAAAATCGGCCCCGCCCCGGGGGTCATTGGTTTTCGTTATATGT